CCGTGCAAATTCCGTATCCAAACCATATTTTTAGTGATACGGAATTGTGCATTTTTCCGTATCCTATTATGATACGTTATTTCTAAGGAAAAAAAATCGTATAAAAACTTTATAAAAAACGTATCCAATTTTTTTATAGGGTGTAAGAAAAAGTTTTTTAAAAAAAGAAAAAGTTTAAATTGAAAGAAAAAGTTTAAAAGAAGATCAATTGAAAGAAAAGTTTAAAAAAGAAAATTATTAAAAGAAAAAGTTTATAAATATTTTAAAAAGTTTAAAGATCATTGCGTTGCAGTTATTACTAATTATAAATTGTAAAAAGTTTAACAAAAATAAAAAGTATGATATAAGTTTAGAGCAATAAGGTTAGAAATAGAAAAAAATTATATTATAAAATAACAACTTTACGAAAAGTTAAGAAATGGCGAAAAAGTTTATTGGAGACCGCTAGAGGAATCAATTGAAATAGGTTAGGATAGGTTTTCCAAATCGAACTTAAAGATACTATTCAAAGACAATTTAGACATTTTTATTTTATTTTTTTTTTCTTTACAAAAGAAGAGTTAAAATTAAAAAAAAATATAAATATTAAATCACGTGTTGCTTTTTCACTTGATTTTTATATAATTAATTGGAAGCGCAGCAAAAAAACTATAAATTGCCAGTTATAACATAAAAATAAAATAAATATATTAACGGTTTAATGGTTAATTAACGGTTAAAAAATTTTTTGTTTTAAATTATTTTTCGATAAAAAAAATAAAAATAATAAAATATTGTGCATATCAGCAATTTTCTATTTTAAGAAATTTTTTTAAAAAGCAACAAATATTTGGTAATGCGCAGCAAAATAACATCATTGTTTATTAATCATCTGATTCATTTATTTTTGTATTTATGGAAATTTGTGCAACTGTTGTGAAACAAATAAACTTTTGCATTTATGGGAATTTGAGTTAAAAAAGAATTTTTTTTTCCCTTTTTTTTTAAAAAAAAAAAAAATTATGCAGCCACATATAAAGTGATCGATTTTCTAGGAAGGAGGATGAAGCGTTATAGGGTTAAGGGTTCGCATACATTATTCTTACTATCTAAAACATTAAATTTGCAAGCAAAGTTTCTGGTAAATCACAATTTTGATGCCTGGAGTTTATGGGTTTAATTTACTTAAAAAATATAAAGAAATTTGTATCGCCATATTTACGGAATATTTACATACCGATTCTGCGGTAAATTGGCTTCTTGTGGTTAATAAATATGTATTTATAGCGAACTTTACCCAAAAGAAAATATATTATATAATTTGCTTCCCGGAATGGGATGATCGGCTAGGTAAACATTAATTGATTGTAAAAATACTAATAATAGTTAAAATTTCGAAATTTCGAAATCTAATTTGTCATATCGATTCACAGAATTCATATGCGGTACAAGTAAAACCAGAGTCCATATAAATAGAACCAGTATTTGCGCTGAATCTTTTACATTATAGTTTTACTATTTAAAAAAATGACCGATTTTCTAAAATATTCTCCGTTATTAATTTCTACGACGATAAAACATTATCTTAATGGACCACCTAGACCTTCATGGAATTTAAAATGTCACATATTTTGGGCAAAGTATATATCATTACTCAAAAGTTCCGAAACAATTGAACAAAAGCAAAGAGCTAGTTTTAGTTTTCGTCCTGCTCCTGTACAAGATGGCGTGATGATAAATGAATTTAAGATAGATAATAAATATAGAAACGAAGCTCAAGTTCATCTTAATATAATATTGAAACCATTTGAACATGTCTTAGATCCTGAATGGAAAAATTTGAAAGATGATGGAATTATTTCTGAATGGGTTCAATTCCCTAATGACGAATGGGAAAAAAAAGAAATTAAGAAAACTATTTTGTATTTACACGGTGGTGCTTATTACTCTTTCTGTAAAGAAAATCATCGTTGTATTACAAGCTCTCTTGCTAAAATTGCAAATGCAAGAGTTTTAGGTAAGCTAAACCTTGGAAGAATGAAAATTTCAATCAATATTTAATATATTACCTAGCTAAAAATTTTCTTATATAGTAATTAATTATCGGCTTGCACCTCAAAATCAATTTCCTGCCGCATTACAAGATGCATTGGCTGCTTATTTATATCTCTTAAATCCTCCCAAAGATGCGGGATTTGAACCTTTAAATCCAAAAAATATTGTAATTTGTGGTGATAGTGCTGGAGGTGGCTTAAGTTTAGCTCTCGGTCTTGCTATACGTGATGTTTGCGATGCTGGTTTGCCATCGTGTGCTGGCATTATCGGTTTGGTAAATAAAGAATTCATTTTCTTTGTTTGTTGAATTACTAAATCATTTACATAATTATAATGCGTCACATTATAGAGCCCATGGGTTGATCTTACAATTAGCACAGCTTCAATATTAGATGACGAATGTGCTGATTATATTCGAAATATGAAAAGAGGTACTGCTAATTACGCAGAATCTCAAGCTAGTAAAGAATATAAAGAAAAGGATGTTGCTCTCGCAGCAAAGATTAAGAACGGTCCCAAAATTTGGCATGATTCTTTTGAAAGACCTGATGGCAGATTACATTTATATGTAATTAATGAAGGTCTAGCAATTCCATATGTCAGTCCTATGCTAGCTGAAAGCTTAGGCGATTTACCTCCTTTATTATTGGTAAGGAAAGGCATTCACATTATCCTCTCTTAGATATTAACTAAAAAAAGATTTATTTGCATAATGTAGACTGCAGGAGGAGATGATAGATTTCGAGATGAAGCAATTTATCTTGCTCATAGATCTTCTGAACCAACTAAATATAAAGGTCCATCATATAATGCTGGTAAATTTGAAAAATCTCCATTCAAAACTCCGACAAATACTACACTCGAAATATATGAAGAAATGCCTCACGTATTCCAAGTAAATATATTAGCTTAAATTTAAAGAAAAAAAATGTTTTTAATTAAAAATTAATCCTTTCATTAATATATTCCAGTTTATGGAACATGCTTTCACTACAAAGTCGTATGAACGTATAGCTGAATTTATAAATAGAGTGATAAATACTCTTAACGAACCACTTCCTCCTTCCACTTATAATTACATAAATGTTAAGGGAGAATTAAGTCCTTTAAAAGAACTTCATAAAAATGTTCTTAATTGGGAAAAAATCGGTATAGTACCAACTATACCACATGAAATGAATTAAAATTTAATTCTAATTCACGTAGATATGGTAAGTAAAGAATGAATAAATTTAAATTTAGGAATTAATTTACTTAAAACAAAACTACTTTTTAGTACATCGTATACTGTATATTATTTCACTTATTTTCTTTATTGATTCATTTATTTGTTTGTTTGTTGATTGGTTTATTTATTTATTTTCACTTATATAAGCTAAAATAAAAAATAGTTGTAATCATCTATAAATAAATGCATTAAAAATATTTAACATATCATATATCTTAGAGAGGAAACGATCATGTAATTAAGACATAAGTTGTATCAAACTTAAGAATATCCGAATATGTGACGAATTAAATTATAATTTACAAACAATTTTTTGAATTTTAAAATATAAGTTTTATTTTAATTATAAATAAAGGTATTTTTATAAATTAGAAATTCAATCGTACAAAATATAGTTGCAAAATCATAATCAAAATCATCTATCCATCCTAAACAAATACGATGGTGAGTTTCTAATTTTGAATCGCCGCAACATATCGCTGTTGGCACCGGTAAACCATGCTATTCTCTTCTTATTCTTAAGTTATTCACTAAGCTCAGAGCAACAATGCAATTTTATAATATGAATGTGTAATTTTTTAACGCTTTATTAGAAAATGCAATAAATTAAAGATTGAAGACTAATGAGCCAATTGCGCCTGCATTTTTGAATAAATGTTCGCTACAAGTAAAACAAAAAATTCAAAATTTTTCAGAACATGATACTGATATTATATTTTAATGACAACTTTAATAATACTATATTTCTTTTCACCTGCCAAAAGGCTTATATGTTTTATTTAGGAAGAATATTAAGGTTTGTTTAACAAAGTTTGACTTGTTATTTACTTATTAATTTAAAGGGACGGAGATATCATAAAAAAACTTTTCTTTGGTGTAATAATAATAATTAATAATTTTAAGGTAACTTTTTAATAGTAAATTATTTTATTTTCTCTTTCAGAAATAATTTTACTAGTTTTATTTCATCAAATCGGGCGGTGCTTTCCTTCGGAACAGCTCCGCCATCAGGTTTTGTTTTCGGACACCAGGGTGATGTTGTCATATTGGCGGCTTGGTTCACAGATCATTTTCGGCTCTAATAGTTTAGTGTCCTTATGATTTGTACCGTGACACAGATGCCACTCACGTCGTGATAGGAATAAAATGGGGAGTAGCATCATTTGAATGTAAAGACGCAAGGAGGATAACAAGTCTCAAGTTGAAGCAGCGTTGAAGTCTCATTTTGAATAATTATCAAATTTGAAGAGTAAATAATTTTATTTAAAACAGAATATAAGATCTATAATAAGAAAAGTTTGTTGGTAGGAAATCTTATATAGATCTTAATAATAATGCTATAGTGTTCTTGTTAATATGTATATATACTAACAAATAATTTTGTATTATTTCAAAAGAAAATTTTACTCTAATTTTGAAATTAAAAATTGTTCAGATTGATCACTACATATGGAGATATTAATGATGCTAGAAAATAGAAAATTAGTATATTGGACGAAATTACTCTTCAACCAACGATTCAACTAATGCAATTTTTTAATCATTGGATAGGTTTCATTCTTCTCTTTCAAATAAATGTAGAATTAGGGATTGGAATCGATTCGACTAAAATCGATTTAATCGAAATTTGAATCAGTATCTAATAGAATCGATTAATCGAATCTAAAAATCGAATCCCAATAAATCGAATTTTTATACATTTTGGCGCAGCAAATATAATCTTGCTGTTTCTATAACCACGTCACAATGAAACATTATCCAATCAAGTCAATTGTGGCTAATGTTTAATTAATTAAAAAAAAAATTTTTTTTTTGATTGATAATTTCGACTGGATCATCTTTTGGCCAGAATTAAATATAATTCTATAATTCGGGCCAAAAATGTCTACTGCATATTATACAGTACATATATTTTTTATTATAATGATAACAAATTTGGCTTTTTATATAATAATTACTTTAGCTGATAAATTTTCAGGTTTTTTATTCAGTGCAAAAATAAAATCATTTTAATCAAAAATTTTCAAATTTTACAATAAAGATTATTTTAGTATTTTAGTTAAAATCCACCTAAAATTTTGTGCCGCCGGGATCATCGAAAGCGTTGCATCACGAAAATGTTTAAAAAATGATTTTTTTGTAAAATTACTGAGAAACGATTAATCGATTCTTAAATCGAATTCTCGGGTTTCAATTTTCGATTGAACCGATTCCAATCCCTATGTAAAATCATATCCGTAGCATACATGTACGTAAAATTATTTAGAATTTTGCTATAACAGATAAGAATTATGATGGTGCATATTAAAATTCCTCATTTTACGTTAAATTTAATAAAATTTTAGATACAGATACATCAAATTATTGTTTAATAATTCGAAAAGTTTGAGTAATATTTATTATATGAAATTTTAACCCAACCAAGACATTTGCAATAAAAAAAAAAAATGTAGAGATTTATTTTTATTAAAATTCATCTGTTATTGGTCAACTTTATATGTAATAACTTTTTATATTATAAAAATACCAATTATATTTAATTGATTAGCAAAATTTGAGAACAATTTAATATGTAGAATTTTTCAAATTGGAAAAAAAATATTCTCACAACGGAGTGATAAAATTGAAAATGATCGGCAAAATTCGCTTGATAAAATCGGAAGCCATATTTTTTTTAAAAAAAAGAGGTTTATTTTATTAAATAGTAAATATTTTTTTTAAATAAAAATCAAAAATTGGGTTTTGTTAAATCAAATGCATTTTTTTAAAATATTTTAAGTCAAAAAAACGAAGCCAGTTGTTTTTATTAAAAAAAAATAACCGAAAGTTAGGTTTTTTTAATAAAAAGTACGCATTTTTTTTACCGTAATATAAAAAATGTTACACTTTTAAGCAGACTGAAATTATTTTTTTTAATTAATTATCTTTTTTTGCAGACTCATTCCTTATAATGCGTCAAATAATCATCACATGAACTGATTGGATAAAATGAGCTACATAGTGACCAATCAATGAAGGGCCCTGTGATCGATATACACATCCAATAAAAGTGCTATCGTTCTGACATTTTTGATCATGCGATCATGCATTAATTATAACATCATAAATAAACTTTATATTCAACTTTCTATAAATTTCATTTTTATGATATTTTTAATCCACTTTATAAGCTTCACTTAAATTTTTCTTATAAAAATTTTAAATACTATCGGTCGGTATGATCTTGATGGACTGAACGATAACAAAAAGTTACGTCCTCATTCATTTTATTTGAAGAACCGAGAAAAAGTAACATTAATTTCATTTCATTAGTATTATTTACTTTTTATTATATAAGCTGGTACTGAAATTCAAACAAGTGTATTAATTGATCGAAGAAGCATTTTTATTATTAATTGCTGGTCTCAGGCACTCTCATCATATAAAAATGTCGTCCGACTTGCAATCAAAAATGGTGAAATTTCATTTATAGTTTGTAAAAATTTAATCCTAACTCTAATAAACTTAACTTTTTATAAAAAAATTTTATTTATTTTATTTTATTTTGATGGAAAAAAAAAAGTTGACTATACTGTAATAAACCCTTAGTTTACTAAATATTAACACTTATTATAAACCTTTATAAACATCATGAATACTATTAAATTCTACTATTTTAACTCCTTTAGCTTTAATTTGATTCAATAATTTCAATTCCTCATCACACAATTCTTTATCCAAATTCATCATACCAAGAATTTTTAAACTATTATTACTTCTTTCAATATAATTTAATACAATTTTAAGAAATCTTAATTCAATAATATGATTTAAATTAATCATTTCAAAACTATCATGACAATTTTCTAAAAATTCCCTAAATTTTAAAAACTTAATGGAACTATAAGGATAATAAATAGAAATAGAAATTTTACTAATATTAATAGGTATATTATTTGCTAAACTTATTAAATCAATAAGGAAATGAATTCTTAATTTTAAAAAAGTAAGGTTTGGACAATACATTGATATATCTTCAATAAGATTAATTGTAGGATTTTCAACAAATAATCTTTGTATTGATGCACCTAGATATTTGATTATTAAAGATGTAACATCAACTTTCCATATATTGCATTTAAATGATATTGTCTTGAGTTTAAATGAAGCACAATTTAAAATCTCACATTGATTTAATAATATACCTTTACAGGATTCAAACATTAAATATTCTAAATTATATAAACTATTAAAACTTTTTAAATCAACATTAATAAAGTCAGTGTTTATAAATTCAATATGAACTAAAGAATGCTTTTGAAATTCTAAGGATAAAAGAACATTATTTAATAAAGAATAACAATTCTTTATCTTAAATATTTTAAGTTTGTTTTGCCTTTGAATAATTTTATGGAGCTTTTCCCAAGTAGTAGTATTGATCAAATTATTGGATGTATCATGTCTATATGATCTTTGAGGAAGCTTAATTAGTAATTTTCTCAAATTTAAACTAATATCTGCCATATTTCTTAAAAATTCATTTTCAATTTCGTTATTGATGGTATCAATTAAATAAAAACTGAATGAATTTAATCTTGTTAAATTTGAAACGAAATTTTGAACATCAAAATTTTTAAAACTTTCTTTATAAAATAAATATGATGAAATATTTAATTGTTTAATGTTTCTACTTTGACGTAAAATTGATTGATGAAATATCGGAATAATGTCATCATACATTTTGTTGTTAGAAATCAATAAGCCTGAACAATATCTTATAATAGTGGAATTTATTTCAAAGTCATGATAATCTTCCAAATATTTTGGATATTCAAATAATGGTTTGTGTTCTTCGTCAATATTAATATTATTAATCTGATTTATTGTTAGTTGATTCTTCAATTGTAAAATTTCTGCTTTATTAAAACAAAAAATTAAGGTTGAGATTATCAGGTATTTTTTTTTGGATTTTTTTGCAAAAGGGTTTGCGTAAATCAAAGGAATTGTCGATTTACACCAAAATCGATTAACTAATAAACAGTTAAATAGAGTTGAGTCATCATTTTGAAGGTATTGTAAAATGTAATAAATACAATCATCTGTTAAATAAGGTAAAGTCATCTTAGAAATTTAGGAAAGAAAGAAAGTCTTTACGGAGTATCGGAGTAAAGCTATTAGTTATTATCGTTATATAGAAGTCATACGGTACGGTTGTGTAATACTGTAGCACGGAGTTTACATTCCCCAACAGGTAATGCTAATCTATGCCGTAACTGGTGACGTCATGCGTGCATGATGTATGGCGTATTGTATGTAACTTTTTGATCGGCAAATTCGGTAAGAGTATGTTGATCATTAATTTGGTATGTACGTTTCCATTTTTCATAAGTCTCTGGAGAGACAAAAAAAATTTTTTAGTAGCAAAAATCAGTCGAAATGTGTAACGTCGGCCATTCGTTAAGTTTTTTGTGGTTAGTCCTTGATAATCTATTTTTTTAGGTTTCAACTTGCTAGTTTCTTATTTTTTAAGCTTAAATTAAATATTTTATTGATTTTTTTCTTGAACAATTTTATCCACGTTTCTCTTTTATTTTTTACATGTTACTCCCTTTTTATTATTAATTTCAATTATTGATTTCGCGTGGACAATTTTTTTAACTTTTTTTAATTATCTTAATTCTGGTCGGAATTATTTAAGAAATTATCTTTAATCTTTGCTGGAATTGTGTTAGGCATAAACGTTAATGTCACGTGATTTACCTTATTAACGTGACCAGTAATTTAGCAATTGGTATCAGGTGGCAGAGGTTTATAGATAATATGAAAATCACATAAATAATGATTATAATATAATGTGAATTTAATTTTACAACAAATAATAAGTGTATTTAAAAAAAATTAAAAATAAAGTTTAATTTCTTACATCAATTTGATTATCGACAGGTCCAATGCCAAATTTGAATTTGCAATAGATAAGGCTTGTCCTTCTTCCAATTTTGGTACATCATCGGGAGTTGTATTTTTTGTAGAGTCTATGTAATATCTATAATCTTATATATATCCAATGTAAATTTATTAAATTTATTGTATAAATTTTTACAATAATTTACCGTACCATACCATTTCCAAAAAATCATTTACTTCTTAAAATTATTTAATTTTTATAGAATTGGGTTATTTAAATATTTAATAAATGAATTTTTTTTTTCTTTTTAGAGACAATTTATCACAGCTGAAAATAATGATAAGAGATAATAAAAAAATTTTGAGGCCATGTATTTATTAATAATTATAAACAAGGACAATATTATAAAAGAACATTTATTATTTTTATGCGAAAGATGTAATAATATATTTATTTTTTTATCCCGATATTTATTATCTTTTTTTTTTTTTTAGACGTAATAATTTTTTATACCTTGTAATGGATTAATATTTCTATCAATATCACGATGATGTTATAATTTTAAAATATTTCACAAGAATTAATGTCTTTATTGTAAAATTATTATTTTTTTTTATTACATGTAATTTTTGCGACGTATTATTACAGTAATCGCCGAAGGGATATTTCGCCGAAAGGACGTCTCGCCGAAGTACCATTTCACTGAATCCCATTTCGCCGAAGTCATTTTATAAAAATGGATATTTCGCCGAAAAATTATTTATTCCATTTGGTTATTTTATTCTATATTATTCTATATAATTAAAAAAAAATGGTGTTTGTGTGACTAACGTTTAGATTAGACTGTATAAATAATCTTTAAATTGTGCAATGCGTTATCATCTGCGCCTCTACACCCGTTATCTTATAGACATACAATGTTAATTACTAATGTTGTGTAACATTTTATATGAGCTATTAATGTGTTTGCGCCTGATCTATGCTTAATAGTTAAGACCATTTGATCGGCAAATTCATTCTAATTTACTAATGTGCAGGAAAAGGAAATTTGTATAATTCTGGCCGGAATTATACCTTAGCAATTTTCTCCCAAAATTAAAATGACCCCCCACGTTATAAATTAAAAATCTTAACTGCGTCGAATTATATATTAATTGCCAAGACTTTCAGAAATTATTTAAATTTTACATTTTATATTTAAAGTTATAACTGATATATCACATACTGTAACCTTTTTTTCCATCAAAATTAATTTAATCACTTTCTTAGCAAAGATCTAAATTTGATAAACGTTTGATCAAAAATGACGATCAATCAATTTATACAACCCGATGCGAAGTAACGGGCTGCTGCTAGTAAATACATTAAAGAAATGTTTTCTTAGAAAATTTTTGAATTAGCTGATTTATTGAATTTATCTCGTTGTTTATAATATATTAATAGTCTTTTTTTTACTCACTTTTTCGTGAATAAATGTTTTCAGGAAAATTAAGTTATTTATTTATTTCATTCTTACTAACAATATTAGTTACTTGAATGTTAAAGTGATAATATCCTGAAAAAAAAAAAATCTCTAAAAATAATGGACGATTCGATGAAATGGATTCGATAAAATGTACTTTCGGCGAAACGTCCTTTCGGTGAAATATCCCTTCGGTGAAACGGCTTCGACGAAATGAGTTTCGGTGAAATGGATTTCGGCGAAATGTACCGTAACCGTTATATAAAACATAATAAATCACATAAATCACATTATAACTGATAATGACAATTAGAAAAAATTTACTAATGGCCCGAAGAGTATCGTTATAGCGGGCGGCACTTGTATTAATAATTATTAAATAAGTACAATATTAAAAAAAGGATAATTTGTTTTTGTTTTTATACGAAATCTATAATAACAGATAATATATTTGTTTTTTTTACTTAATTTTATGAAAAGTATTAATGAGTCCAACGCTCACAATCCTGACAAATCACACTCATTTATATCCCGACACTTATTATCTTTTTTTTTTAACTTTTTTAACTTTTTTAAACATGATTATAAATTATACTAGGAGACAGAGACCGTTGCGACGTATTATTGTAAGTTTCAAAAATTATTGAAATTGAGGTAATCATCAATATTTTACAGTAGGGATTGGAACCGTCCAAAAAAACCTTAACCGGTTAAAAACCGGTTAACCAAGGGTCTTAACCGGTTAATAACCGGTTAATATCAAAAATATTTTAAAAACTTTTTTTACTGCAAATTGTACCAATTTTTGATTTTACTTGCATATTTAGTTATAGGAAGACTATGTATCACTAAAATTATTATAAATAAATAGAAAAAAATTCGGCATTAAAACTTCAAGTTTAGGAACACGTGGCCGCAATTTACATGTCTCTGGGCCGCATTATATAAATCTGACTAGAATTATGATAAATATAGTTTTAACCGGTTAACCGATTTTCAAAATCCTTTAACCGGTTAACCGTTTTAACCGGTTAATTAACCGGTTAACATTAACCGGTTCCAATCCCTATTTTACAGAGTAAATAAAGTTCCAGCAGAAACGATTAAAAAGATATTACATCATAGAATCAAAAGTAATACAAATATAAAACTGTAAACCAAGTCATCTTGGAAGAACTCAAAGATACAGTAACTTCACTCTGGTGGAAAGAAAATTAAAGGTACTATAAAAACGACAAAGGAGTATTTGAAATACTATCCATGCCGAAGAATTAGTTGACTAAAGAAAAAGAGAAAAACAAAACTAAATAAATTTCATATAATAATCAGTTTAAAATAAATGAAAACCATCCACCAAAATTCGTGTCAAAAGAGATTTGAAGAAAGTGTCTAAAAAAAGGAAAGAAAAAAAAAGAATTTTTTTTTTGCAAAAAGAAAAAAGAACGAAAGATATTAAATTTTTTGAGATAAATTTTTCTTATGAAAAGAGAAAAGGATAAATCAAAGATGAAAATAAAGTGACTTCAAAATGTTATTTTGAAAAATTATTGAATTTTTGTCAACTTTTTTTATTATGAAAAATGATAAGTGATTTTCCCAACAAATTAAAAATTAATATTTTCATATCTAAATTGGAAATTCGGATCGGCGAAAATTATCTTCTATTTAAAAAATATGTTTGTCATTTAAAAAGAGATAACTTATTTCTTGGTATATTTAAATTATGGTTAAATTATGGATTATACAGTAATTTTTACATTGTAGTTAGCGCTGATATAAAATAACTTATTAATTTTATGAAAATTTTTATAAAAAAAATTTATTTTTTATTGAAAGTATATCTTACGAAAGAGAATAATACTGTAAAATTAAAAACAATTTTTTTTATCTACTTAATTTTGCATAGGTATTTTGGATTTACTACGAAATCTCAAGAATCCTGTTATAACACATCCTGATGCTTAATATCCTCAGGATATTAAAAAATATTATACTGTATCTTTATATGTAAAACATTAACATTTTTATTTAATATAAAGCAAAATATTTTAATTAATTTATTACTTAATTTTGCGACGTCATATTTTGATATAAATAGAAATAATAATCGTTACAAAGTATTACAAAATTATTACGTCTAAAATAAAATGTAAAATTAAAAAAAAAAGATAAATATTAAAGTGTTGAACTTTCGAGATTATGATTTATCAGGATTGTGATTTGTGAGCGTTGTGAGCGTTTGACTTGTGTTATAACGGATTCTGATCGTTGGGATTTTGAACGGCTCCCAGATATTCTGTGCAATAAATATTCAGTTATTCTAATTTTAAGTTATTGTCTCACATGGACTATATTTCACTTAGCTTCTCATCGCTCAACAACTCTGTAATTAAAATGAATTTTTCTTTTTCTTCTCGGATAGCACCCTGCGTTGAATTTTCCATAATAACTTGTTGTTATTATTGAACGCTAACTGATCGGCCGGATAATTTAATGGATGATCTGCAATAAATTATCCGGCTGATTAATATATTTAAATTTAATCTTCGAAGCTTAATTTAGACTTTCTATAGACTTTTAATACACTATTAACTTCCTTATAAAATTCCTAAAAATTTTTTAACAATAAAGTGTATTAATATTCTTTAATATAATTTTTTATTTAGTTCTAATATTCAAATATTCTGTATCATATTTAATAAAATTTTAATGGCCGGACGAATTAAGGTCGAGGTAGAGGTAGAGGCCGAAGTCAAAGTCAAATTGTAGTAAAATTTAAGGTAGAGGTCGTGAACGAAGCAAAAAGAGCCTTGATATAGTAGTGAATGAAACTATAACTTCGATTTCGGATGGTAAATGTAAAAGATCAATAATATCAATAGCGATGATGAGAAAAACCAAAAAAAAAAAATCAACATTATCACAACTACCTTCATTAGAGCAAAATGATACTGGACTTTTTCATTTGTAACTTACTGCTCCAATTTTACAAAAAAATACATTAATTTCTCATTCAACATCAGTTTATATCCCTAAGTCACTTTTTTCATCAACTCAATCTGATTTAAACAACACTATTAAAATAAACTCTAGTACATTACATTCTGATGATGATAATGGTAATCAAACTGATGATTCCACTGTATCTTCTCAAGAAGAAGCAAATGAAAATGAACTCAACTTTATTACATGCAAATACAAGTATTTATTTTATAATATTCACTTAATTCTTTTTATATTTACATGTACTAAACTAGAAAATTAATTCTTTTTAGCATCAGATTCTCATATATTGACAAAACTCCTTGAAGTTGTAATGCAAAACCAAAAAAGATATTAAATTTTTATCAATCAAAGTAATGGAATTAGAAAGTGATAACAAAATACTTCAAAAAGAATTAAGTGAAATTAAAGATGCTATTGGATCAAGTGATAAAATTTAAAATCAGTATCATCAAACAAAAAGGAGCATGGTTGGATTGATGTAAGTAATGGTAAATGATTCTCGTGATGCATATTATGACTATTACGTTCTCTTACTAATAAATATTTTATTTAATAAGTTTATGTAGACTTATTGTTAAATTACAAATATCCAACAAAAGAACAAGCTAAAGAAGCTTCTTTGTGAATATTAACAAAATTTTAATCAGAAAAAATTAAACTAATAATTTCATCTAATGAGTGGGATTTATTATTTAAGAATGGTATTCTTTCGGTAGTAAAGCTATCAATTCACAAATTAATTGCCTAATATATATGTTATAAATTATTATTATACTTTACATTTGATTTTTATTAATAGGTAATCACTAAGTTAACTTCATTGCGTGGTGGTATTGTTTCTAAAATTAAACAAAAAATGCTGTCATTCACTTGAATATATTGATTCTGATGCAAGTTTTAGAGCTATTACTGCTTGGAAGTAATCGGATAATACAAAATAGTGCTTTGAAAACTTGGGTACAATAATGTCAGACGCATCAAATACCACATATATGGATGAAATTATCAAGAAAAGTTTTCAGACAAAAGCAGCAACTGAAAATGATCGTCTATACACCACTGCAGTTGTATGCTATATTCTGAATGTAAACTCAGGTGGAATTAAGATAGAAAAGAAGTCTATTTTAAAACTACTAATGGACCAACTTCAGGTATCCTATTTTAATATTTTAATATATTTCCATTGTATTTTGAATTATGATTAAATTCATATTTCATTATATTTATAGAAAAGTATGTAGAAGTATAAAAATTCCAAAATAAAAATATTTATAATTAAAAGTGTAGATTTATTTATATTTATTAAATTACTAACATAAAATCTATATATAAATATATATAATACTCTTTAGGTTTGCATAACATTTTACATAATTTTATATGGTTCATGGTCCCTACGGGCTGTGAAGATTTTTACGTACTTCTATAAATATGCTATATATTTATTATATATATATAAGTTCCTGATGATAGCATGATTTTTAAGAGGGTAAAACACTGTAATATTAAATATTTGGGTAGCATCTGAGTCACCTTCAAGTCTTGTATATCCAGTAGCCATTCCTACGAAGAATTCACTTGACGTTTTCTCCCTATATTCTGAAATATAAGGAATTGTTGAGAGCTGTGCAGTAAGTGCAGTTATTAGGAATTAAAATTAAATATAAAAATTTTTAAAAGAAAAGGTGTATTTTTTTTAAAGAAAAGTGTTTTTTTTTCGTCATGTGGGAAAATCCAAAAAACATTTAAAAAAAAAACAATAACGATTTCTAAAGAGACAATGTGAATTCTCATGTGATTGTCACGATTAAATTATTTTTATAGCTTAATAAATTTTTAATTGCTGATCGGATTAGTTGCTAAAAATTTGTTTCACACCAATCATTTATGATTTATGCAGCCTAATTCAAAATTGTATTGGGATTAGGAAAAATCTGTAGCACAGGACGCAGACACATGATGCTGGACGATCCAATTTGGTACCCCTTTTATTTAATGTACTGTAAACGATTGTTTAGAGTTTGCATATTTGTCTTAATTTACTTTTCTTGCTAACTATATATATATATTGTTTGAGGCTCTAGATCAAAAAGCATCCTAAGACAAATTTATAATAATAAATACATAAGATGGTTTCGGATACTGATGCAAATATTAATGTAAGTAATTATTAGAGTAAAAAATAATTCACGAAATAGTAATATCTAATTCATTCATATATAAATAGAACCATTATTTGAACTGAATCTTTTACATTAAAGTTTTACTATTTGAAAAATGACCGACTTTTTAAAAAATTCACCATTGTATATTTCTACAACGATAAAACATTATCTTAATGGACCACCTAGACCTTCATGGAATTTAACAAGTCATATATTTTGGACAAAGTTTATATTACTCGTAAGTAACAAAACAATTGAGGAAATGCAAAGAGCTAGCTTTAGTTTTCAACCTTCTCCTGTACAAGCTGGTGTGGTGATAAATGAATTTAAGATAGATAATAAATATAGAAACGAGGCTCAAGTTCATCTTGATAAAATTTTGAAACCATACGAACACGTCTTAGATCCTGAATGGAAAAATTTGAAAGATGATGGAATGGCTTCAAGTCCCTAATGATGGATGGGAAAAAGAGAAATAAGAAAACTATTCTGTATATACATGGTGGAGCTTATTACTTTTTCACTAAAAAAACTTATCATTGTATTACAAGTTCTCTTGCCAAAATTGCAAATGAAAGAGTTTTAGGTAAGCTAAACCTTGGAAGAATGAAATTTCAATCAATCTTCAATATATTACCTAACAAAAATTTTCTTGTATAGCAATAAACTATCGGCTTGCACCTCAAAATCAATTTCCCGCCGCATTACATGATGCATTAGCAGCTTATTTATATCTCTTAAATCCTCCAAAAGATGCTGGATTTGAACCTCTAAATCCAAAAAATATAGTAATAGCCGGCGATAGTGCTGGAGGTGGTTAAGTTTAGCTTTCGGTCTTGCTATACGCGATATTTGCGATGCTGGTTTGCCATCATGTGCTGGAATTATCGGTTTGGTAAATATAAAATTTATTTTTTTTGTTCTATCATATTCGGGCCTGATTTATAATTTGCAATCATCGTAATGCCGGTTGACATTAAAATGTGGCCAGAGATTTGCGAATAGTAATATTGGCAGCTTTGCATAATTCTGGCCAAAATCTCAGGATTTCACGAAATTTTGTTTTGGGACACACAGAATTTACCATTTAACGCCACAAAAAATCATCGGTCACACAACTATATCAGGAGCAAGAAACGGCAATTTCCGATCGGCCAAATTGTTCCGGAAGCCACATTTCGTCCCACTTTATTACTCAAACCTAAGCCTCCCGATTCTGCTAAAAATAACTAAAATAAATAAACTATATATAAACTAACTAATATGAACATAAATAATAAAACTATTTAACTAATAAACTACCCAAAATATACATTTGAAAAAATAAACTAAACCAAATATATAAAATCCATAAATGTGTAACATAAATAAAATAATTTACGACGTATGTGTGCGGATGTTTTTACGGCAGGTCACCTGCTCGCAAAAACGGCACATTTTTGACCAGCACGGCTTGGCCGGCTTGCCATTCGCCACCTAATATTGCTATTTCAAGTTAGAGTAATTTAGTTTCACATACTATTTTGGAAATGATTTTTGTAAATGAAATCACGCTAACAGTAATTTCAATCGCGTTATCAGTTATTTTTTCCTTTTAAATAAAAATATTTATTATAATTATTAATATTATTAAAAAAATATCAATTTTGTTTGTGGCATGTCAATCTGGCTGATCATTTCAAAATTCTCGATCGAGCAGAATTTTTATTTTTAAAATAAAAATAATTTATAAACAATTAATATTTTATTTTATTTTAGTTTTTTACTTCAAGTCACCAGGGGTGATCATCACCCCGTGATAGTTAGAAAAATTCTTTATTTTATTTTTAGTAATAAAATATTAAATTCAATTCATTAAATAAAATTTTTTATTTATTTATAAATATCAAATATTTAATAAAAAAGGAAAAAATATAAAGTTTTGACTTTTCCAAAAAAAACTAAGTATATTACCGTATGAAATTATATTGGAAATTCATTCATAAAATAATAATGCTTTTAAAGGAAGCTGGCAGAGCCGACACTAGCAATACAAGTCTAGTTTAAAAAATATCACCATATTTACGAAGAGGAATCTGTTTATTACGATGATCCATGACAAAATTAGTAATTAAAATGCGTTGCCTTTTTTAAAATACATATACATTGTATCAGTTCCGAAAGCGGTATTAATGATCACGTGTCTGAGTTTCTTCGGAATAAAAACTAGAAAAATGATCATTTATCGGAGTTTTTTATAAGGTAAGCAGCGAACTGTATCCAAAAAATGCATTATAATAAACTTTCTCTGAATGAGATGAACTTAATTGTAAAAATGATTCACGGGATTTTGTGCAGTACAAGTAAAATCGGAGTTCTTTAATATAGGAGTTCTTTAATATATATTAATATACACATATTTTATACAAATAGACCATAATTTGCACTGAATTTTTTACATCGTAGTTTTATTATTTTGAAGGAACTTTTACATTGCATTGTAGTTTTGTTATTTTGAAAAATGACCGAATTTTTAAAACATTTACTATTGCTAATTTCTACAACGATAAAACATTATTTTAATGGACCACCTAGACCTTCATGGAATTTACAAGGTCACATATTTTGGGCAAAGTTTATATCTTTATTCGTAAGTAACAAAACAATTGAGGAAATGCAAAGAGCTAGCTTTAGTTTTCGTCCTGCTCCTGTACAAGCTGGCGTGGTGATAAATGAATTTAAGATAGATAATAAATATAGAAACGAAGCTCAAGTTCATCTTGACAAGATTTTGAAACCATACGAACATGTCTTAGATCCTGAATGGAAAAATTTGAAAGATGATGGAATTATTTCTGAATGGGTTCAATTCCCTAATGACGAATGGGAAAAAAGAGAAATCAGGAAGACTATTCTGTATTTACATGGTGGAGGTTATTACTTTTTCACTAAAGAAACTTATCATTGTATTACAAGTTCTCTTGCCAAAATTGCAAATGCAAGAGTTTTAGGTATGCTAAACCTTGGAAGAATGAAATTTCAATCAATCTTCAATATATTACCTAACAAAAATTTTCTTGTATAGCAATAAACTATCGGCTTGCACCTCAAAATCAATTTCCCGCCGCATTACAAGATACATTAGCTGCTTATTTATATCTCTTAAATCCTCCCAAAGATGCGGGATTTGAACCTTTAAATCCAAAAAATATTGTAATAGCCGGCGATAGTTCTGGAGGTGGTTTAAGTTTAGCTCTCGGTCTTGCTATACGTGATGTTTGCGATGCTGGTTTGCCATCATGCGCTGGAATTATCGGCTTGGTAAATATAAAATTTATTTTTTTTGTCCTATCATATTGTTGAATTGTTAATCATTCACACGATAATGTTGTGCCACATTACAGAGCCCATGGGTTGATCTTACAGTTAGCACGCCTTCAATATTAGATGATGAATGTGCTGATTATATTCCAAATGTAACAAGAGGTACCGCTGCTTTTTACGCAGAATCTCAGGCTAGTAAAGAATTTAAAAAAAAAGATGCAGCATTCGCAGCGAAGATTAAGAACCAGAATATTGGTCCCAAAATTTGGCATGATTCTTTTGATAGACCTGAGGGAAGACTACAATTATATGTAAATAATAAAGGGCTAGCAATTCCATATGTTAGTCCAATGTTAGCCGAAAGCTTAGGCAATTTGCCTCCTTTATTATTGGTAAGAAAAAGTATTTTTTGTTGATCCTCTCTTAGATAACTTTGCACTAAAAAAAATTTATTTGAATATTACTACAGGTAGCAGGAAATGAGGAAAGACTACGAGATGAAACAATTTACTTAGCTCATAGATCTGCTGAGCCAGCTAAATATAAGGGTCCATCATATAATGCCGGTAAATTTGAAAAATCTCCATTCCAAACTCCGACAAATACCACATTCGAAATATATGAAGAAATGCCTCATGACTTTCAAGTAAGTATATTGGTTTTAAATTTAAAATTAAAAATTTTTTTTAATACGAATTAATTCTTTCGCCAATATATTCTAGTTTGTGGATTATGCTTGCACTAAAATGTCATATGAACGTATGTCTGAATTCGTAAATAGAGTAACAAATATTCTTAACGAACCGCTTCCTCCTTCCTCTTATAATTACATAAACATTAAGGGAGAACTTAGTCCTTTAAAAGAACGTCATAAAAAAGTTCTCAATTGGGAAAATATTGGTATTGTACCAAGTAGTGCTGCATAATTAAATGAATTGAAATGAATTTCATGCTCACGTAGGCTGTAAGAAATAGTGAATAAACTTAAATTTAGAAACAATAAAATCATTAGGACTTTCTTTTTAGTACTCAAAAACTTTTCGTATACTGTATATTTTCACTTATTTTCTTTCTTCTTTATTTATTTATTTGTTCGTTGATTGGTTTATTTATTTATTTTTTCTTCACTCATAAGTTTAAATAAAAAATAGTTATAATCATCTATAAATAGACACGTTTAAAAATATTTAACATATTACATATTTTAAGGAGGGAGAAAAATGTTTCAATCATAATTAAATACTATTATAATCAACCATCCAACTTAACATAGAACACAATAAAATATGATTTAAAAATACGATGATAAGTTTATAATTTCGAATCGCTGCAGTATATTCAATCCGAGCCGCTGTTATAATCAGTAAAACATGCTATTTCTTTTTCACTGTTCAGTTATTAATAGTTGCGATTTTGCGTAATAATTTAAATATAATATTTTTTTTTTAAAAAAAAAAAATTAATAAAATTAATCACCTATAGCAGAGCTAACAGTTTAACTTATATATTTTTTTATTTAACCTATGGATTATTTCTTTGTGTCNGAAAATATTGGTATTGTACCAAGTAGTGCTGCATAATTAAATGAATTGAAATGAATTTCATGCTCACGTAGGCTGTAAGAAATAGTGAATAAACTATAATTTAAATATAATATTTTTTTTTAAAAAAAAAAAATTAATAAAATTAATCACCTATAGCAGAGCTAACAGTTTAACTTATATATTTTTTTATTTAACCTATGGATTATTTCTTTGTGTCACAGGGAAATCACAGAATAGGCTATAAAAATGTTAAATTTTTGGCCTGATTTATAATTTGCAATCATCGTAATGCCGGCTGACATTAAATTTGACCAGAATTTGTGAATAGTACGGCTGACTTTGCATAATTCTGACCAAATCACAAAAATTTCACAAATTTTGTCTTAGTCACATACCAGTACATCTGATATATTTGAACTTTCTAAGATAAGAAAGTAACATTTGACTAAAAAAAATCATTAAATATAATTTGGATAGAATAAAACAAAGAAAATTAATAAGAAACTCGCAGCAAGCCACCTGACTCATCCCCAAAAAAGTAGCATTATTGAACAATAGAAATATTAAATTTAATTTTAACGTATCTAATTAATAATAAAAAATGATGAACGTCACTGCCACCCAATCTTGCTATTTCAAGTTAGAGTAATTTAGTTTTCTAAAATTGACCATACTATTTTGGCAATGAGTTTGGTAGATTAAATCACGCTAACAGTAATTTCAATTGCGCTATTTTTTCCTTTTAAATAACAATAATGATTAATAATATTAAAAAAATTTCGTCAATCTGGCTGATTATTCCATTATGATCAGTTGAACCTATGATGATTTTATTGAAAATTAATAATAACTAATATATTTAAATAGTAACTATTTTATTATTACTATTATTATTATTAAAAAAATATATATATTGAATTATAATAAAAAGTATTAATTTTTAATTTAATAATTAATAATAATATTAACAAAAATACCGATTTTGCCGTATAAAATAAAAAATATAAAGTTTTAAGTAAAAACTACGTATATTATTATTGTTATGTAATTATATTGAAAATTCATTCATAAAATAATAACGCTTCTAAAGAAGCGGCATTAACAATATGGGTCTAGTTTAAAAAATTTCGCCATATTTTAAAAATATGAAAAAAATTATGAGTCTAGTTTAAAAAATTTCGTCATATTTTAAAAACATGAAAAAAATTAGCATTTGTTTTTTTTTTTCACCCTACGATAATGACAAATTAATAATTAAAATGCGTTACCTTTTTTTAATTACATATACATTGAATCGGTTCCGAAAACGGCTTAAAAAAAATATATTAGATATAATTTTGTCTTAGGATACTTTGATGATCGTGATGATCGGCTAGGAATTGATTGTAAGAATGATTCACGGATCACGTGCGGTATAAGTAAAAAATTGGTTCATAAATAAATAAAATAAATTCATTTTTGTATAAATAGACCATTATTTGAACTGAATCTTTTTTACATTGTAGTTTTATTATTGTAAAAAATGGTCGAATTTTTAAAACAGTTACTATTGTTAATTTCTATAACGATAAAACATTATCTTAATGGACCACCTAGACCTTCATGGAATTTAAGAGGCCACATATTTTGGGCAAAGTTTGCGTCATTATTCGTAAGTTACAAAACAATTGAGGAAATGCAAAGAGCTAGCTTTAATTTTCGTCCTGCTCCCGTACAAGCTGGTGTGGTGATAAATGAATTTAAGATAGATAATAAATATAGAAACGAAGCTAAAGTTCATCTTGACAAGATTTTGAAACCATACGAACATGTCTTAGATCCTGAATGGAAAAATTTAAAAGATGATGGAATTATTTCCCAATGGGTTCAAGTCCCTAATGATGGATGGGAAAAAGGAGGAGTTAAGAAAACTATTTTGTATTTACATGGCGGAGGTTATTTCTTTTTCACTAAAGAAACTTATAATAGTATTACAAGTTCTCTTGCTAAAATTGCAAATGCAAAAGTTTTAGGTATGCTAAACCTTGAAAAAGTGAAAATTTCAATCAATCTTTAATATATTACCTAACTAAAATTTTATATTTAGTAATTAATTATCGGCTTGCACCTCAAAATCAATTTCCCGCCGCATTACATGATGCATTAGCTGCTTATTTATATCTCTTAAATCCTCCCAAAGATGCTGGATTTGAACCTTTAAATCCAAAAAATATTGTAATAGCCGGCGATAGTGCTGGAGGTGGTTTAAGTTTAGCTCTCGGTCTTGCTATACGTGATGCTCGAGATACTGGTTTACCATCATGCGCTGGCATTATTGGTTTGGTAATTAATATAAAAAAAGTTTTTTTTTTTTTTTTATATTGTGGAGTTGTCAATCATTTACACGATAATATTGCGTCACATTATAGAGCCCATGGGTTGATCTTACAGCTAGCACGCCTTCAATATTAGATGATGAATGTGCTGATTATCTTCCAAATCTGAAAGGGGGTGGTGCTGCTCATTTCTTAGAATCTCAAGCTAGTAAAGAATATAAGGAAAAAGATGCTGCTTTTGTAGCGAAGATTAAAAACCAAAATCTTGGCCCAAAAATTTGGCATGATTCTTTTGATAGACCTGAGGGAAGATTACAATTATATGTAACAAATAAAGGTCTAGCGATTCCATATGTTAGTCCGATGTTAGCCGAAAGCTTAGGCAATTTGCCTCCTTTATTATTGGTAAGAAAAGATATCCTTGATCCTCTTTTAGATTTTTTTGTACTAAAAAAGAATTTATTTATATAATATAGATTGCAGGAGATGATGAAAGATTACGAGATGAAGCAATTTATTTTGCTCATAGATCTGCTGAACCAACTAAATATAAAGGCCCATCATATAATGCTGGTAAATTTGAAAAATCTCCATTCCAAACTCCGACAAATACCACATTCGAAATATATGAAGAAATGCCTCACGATTTTCAAGTTAGTATATTAATTTTAAATTTAAAAAAGAAATTTTTTTTTTAAATTACGAATTAATTCTTTCATTAATATATTCCAGTTTGTGGATTATGTTTGCACTAAAATATCATATGATCGTATAGCTAAATTCATAGATAGAGTAACAAATACTTTTAACGAACCATTTCTTCCTTCCTCTTATAATTTTATAAATTTAAAAGGAGAATTTAGTCCTTTAAAAGAACGTCATAAAAAAGTTTTTAATTGGGAAAAAATTGGTATACCACATGAAATGAATTAAAATGAATTTAATGCTACTTCATGTAGATGGTAAGTAAATAATGAATAGAAAAAAAATATAATCATTAATTTACTTAGGAACTTTTTTTTTTAGTACACAAAAACTTTTAGATAGAGTATATTTTCATTTAGTATTTTCTTTATTGATTTATTTATTTATTTGTTAGTTGATTGATTAATTATTTTCTTCATTTATAAGTTTAAAATAAAAAACAGCTATAAAAAAACGCGTTTAAAAAATCTTTAATATATTGTACATTTTAAAGTGGGAATCGATCATGTAATTAAAACATCGACAAATTCAACAAATTGTTTCAAACTTGAGAATAGCTGAATATGTAAAAAAAATTGATTTATAAATAAGAAATGTCTGATTTAATTAATGAAGATATTTTTGTAAATCAGAAATTTAAAAATCATAATAATCCGTCCTAAACGATGAAATGTAATTTATAAATACGATGATGACAAGTTTTTAATTTCGAACCACCGCAGCTGTCATCGGTAAACCACGCAATTCGTTGTTCAGTTGTTCACTAATAAGTTTCAGGTAGAGTAATAGTGCGATTTTGCATAATAATTTAAAATATATTTTTTAAAAAAAAAGTTCATAAAATTAATCACTTACAGCAGAGCTGCTATAGTTTAACTTTTATATTTCGTTATTTAACCTATGGATAAGAAATAACAACTCTTTTAACGTCTTATTGGAAATGTAATAAGAAAATTAATGGGCAAATTGAACCTGCCTTCTGGGTAAATTCGCTATGAGTAAAACAAAAATTCATATTAAATTGTAATGACAACTTTAAAAATCTTCAAGCCTGGCTGATTGAACTTTACACCTCTGTTTAGGAAAAATATATAAATGATCATTAATCTGGGGAATTTCCTGATTTAAATTCATGATCAAACACGACTATATCAGGACAATAAATAGCAAATACGTTGTGGTGGTGAAAGTGAATATTGAGTTTACGTATGTGTATTTTTTTTTCATATCTTATGCTTTATATAAAGAAAATTCGAATAAAATAAGAAAATTTAATAGACGGTTTTATTGTATTTTAAGTATATAGAGGTGCGTAAAAACAAAACTGAGTGGAACTATAATTAGTATGAGCGTCTGTAAGCGACGTTCTCAAATTTCAACTACCCATCCCCGGTTGACTTTAATCTAGTTGTATAGCGAGGTTTGTTTGTGGGTTTGTTAAAGAAAACTGTAGAGTTTTTGCGGTTTGGAAAAAAACCGAGAAAGTTTTTACCAAAAAAAAAACCGATTGTAATCCTGGCCAATTCTATGCTAATTCCGGCTTAATTATGAACAATTTTTTGGCGCACGCTAATAAGAAAGACGATACATTTAATACAAGTGTTTTAATTCAGAATTCTTAACTTTGATTTGCAGAATTTTGATCGAATATTGAATCAAAAAACTCTTGTTTTACTCGAGTTGACTTTCTTTATATTTATATATACAGTAAATATGACTTGAGTACAAGCTTGTGATTCATTTGGAGAATTTTAATACCCGATATTATTTATATTTCTACATTTGCATCTACCAATCTTCCTTACATTTTTTAATATTTCCATTTTATATCTGATCCCAACTCCAATTGCGCGATATATTATAAATAATTTTCTATACATATTAGTAATAGTACATGTTAACAATATTATATGTTTTATTAATAAAAAAAAAAGAAAATCAAATAACATAAGAATTTAATTAATTGAATAAATTTTTAAATCCATAAAAAATGTTAGCTGCTTTAGTTTTAAGATCTTTAACTATCTCTTTTGCCTTACTTTCTATTAAATCATCATATTCATAAGAATAATGAATAAAATCTTTTACTACACCTTTTGATTTATAATTTCCTATTAAATCATTTAGTTGTTTTTTTCGAATAAAATCCCCTTTTATACTAATGATTAATGAAATAGGTTTTCTACCTTCCCAATTATCAAAAAATAATTTTAAAGATTTCAATTCAGGTTGATTAACAGGATAGATAATTTTAAGTTTGTGTAAACTAAGTGGTGATGATGTAACTAAAATGTTGAATAAATTATCCCAATTCATAAATTCATCTTCAACAATATAATAAATTCCTAATATTTTTAAATATTGACATTTAATCAATAATTTCTCTAAATCTAAAACATTACAATTTTTATAATAAAATTCAAGATGAGTAAGGTTAGGACAATTCTGACAAATAACTTGAATAATTTCTTTAGTACTAATAGCATCAGGAAAAATAACTGAATAAGAAATATTTAATTCATTAAGTTTCCCACCGGAATTTTCGATTAAACCTTTTAAACTCTCAGTATTAATGTCCCTAGTATATAAACTTTGTAAGGAAGGTAAAGATAAATTTTCTATATATATCCATCTTTCCCAATCACCCATTAATACCAAATCTTTTAAATTTACAAAGGATGTAAGAATTTGTGTTTCAAGTTGACCACATATATTAAAATATTGTATAGTATTTGCATGTTTGATCAACGAATTTTCTAGAAATGCACGAAATAATCCATCATAAGGAGAATACTTATGTAAAAAACTAACATTAATTAAATTTTCTTGATTTTCAATTAACTTAGGAATTCCAAAATTATTTTCATACTTGTAAATAATAAGTTCCAAATCTTCAATCGATTTACACATTTTTGTTAATATAGCTAAACTATTATCCTTTACTCTAGAATCACATCTAAGGAATTTAATTTTTGAAAAACACTGTTCAGCTTCAGGGATAAGATGATATTCATAGTAATAGTTAGTCATATAAAGGTGAGTATATTCTGCATTTTTATTAATAAAAAGATTAAGTATATAATTTTTAATTTCATTATATTGACCTTGACCATGACTTAAAATTATATTTTCGATTATTTCTAAATTTAAATGTTTGCAAAAACTAATATAATTAAACAAAGGTTTCTTATATGAAATTGTAGAGTATTGACTTAAATTATTTCTTTCTTCATCTGATAAATGTGAAATAATTGTGTTTAATAATAATTTTTCTTTATCAAAAGTTAAATCTTCCCAAGGATTTTTCCATAAAATTGGAATAATTATTTCACACCAAATTTTATTAATAGTAAGACATGAAACAAGAGACTTTCTGTCATATTGTAATTCTTCGATTATCAGATAAAGAATATCTCTATATAATTTCGACATTTTATTTATTATTATTATGGTTATAAAAAAATTTTTTTTTTTTTGTTCGAGTGAACAAAAATTTTTTTGTTTGTGAAAGTTGTACAAGGCGCCGTTTTATGTTGTAATGGCGTGGTAATGGTCGATCATTTTTTTTTTTTACCCGAAGACATATGATGATTTATTATTTTAAGATTTTCTATGGTAAATGTTTTTATTTGTATATAAATATTAACAATAATTGAATAATTTACATCTTTAAATTATCCTCCTGTTTACTGTTATTATTAAATATATTAATCATTTTTAGAATATTCATATAAAATACATAGAAATCGATACATTCCGTCTAGATATCTTAATAGGGTAGCTAGTTTTCTTTTTTTTTTTTATTTATATATCAAAGTTCTCATAATATTTACTTTATATTATTAACGTGCGTTAATACATCACAATAATAATATATTTAATTTACTAGGTGTTAATTATAGTAACTTTTTTCCAGAAAGGTTCAGTATATTAAAAATCTTTTTTATACTTAGATGCTATTAATAGATTGAAATAAGGTTCTTTTGCTGGTCCTGAAGTTTTAAATAATTTTTTTTTTTGGGGGAATTTCATAGACGTAATCCAACGATTTATAACGCTTACGTTTATTATATTATCGTAAAAAAAGAGTCTGTAGTTATTCAAACACATGTCGACAGGTTACACAACGAAATTAACGCTACACGAATAAGTAAAATTATGAAAAGTAATTGCGAAATTGTGAAATTTATCCAATTATAATGTTAATAGTGATTGTGGTTAAAAATAACATTATAACTTAAATAAAAATATTATAATTAATATCGTCAAATTTTATTTGCGCTGAAAGGTAAAGAATCCAAAGATAATGAAGTACTAAAGTTGATGAAGAGAATATTGAAGAGAAGAGAAAGTGATGAGGACATTTAATTAATTTAATTAGTAAAATATGAATTATTTTTTTGATTATGATATTATAATCCTTCTAATAAGATGTTCATTTAAATCTATCGAAGGAATAAAATTTTTTTATTATGAAGAAGCTGAAGCAAGAGGTAATGACCGGTAATGACCTAATTAGACGTATTATGTTATTCTTTACTAATACACTATCTTATTATACCGAATAAGAAAGAAAATTATAAATAATAATATTAAACTTATTGGGCAAACGTAGTAAATAAGAAGTTGAAAGTTAAGCTAAAACTACTCGTTAGCTCAAGCGCTTGCGTAATTATATAATAATTTAGCGTGTATTATTAAGAACGTTTGGACTAGAGTAAAATTAGCCGACTGATAGCAAAATGCATTGGAAGTAGATTTTGGCAACGATCACGTATCTTAATATCAGCTTGAGCTTTGCTCTTAATTTGGTTTATTGTGCGTCTTCTTATTTTTTAAAATATTTTAATAAACTTTCATATGAAATAAGGAAAAAGTCAAATAAAATATCATAATCGAACTATTACAAAGAATATTTTATAAAGTCTATTATCACTGAAAAACTTTTGTAATAAAAATTTATCGTATCGATTTTTTCACTTATTCACAGTAATGCTTATAAGGCGCAGTAAGACCGGGTACTTTAAAATAAGTAAGTTAATTTAAAAATATTTTAAAAAACTATAAAAAATATATAAATTCATTAAATAATCTGATCCAATAAAAACTACTTTTTATAAATATTTATGACCATTAAATTTTTAGACATACTCACTTTCTAATAAAACACATCAAAAGTAATTACATACACATGACCGTGTGTTATCAGTAAGGAACAGTCTCTTACCTTGTTCTACTTTCATCTTCATCACTTTTAAATACAGGAGTAGTGGTAGAAGCACGAAAAAATTTGCTGTAGGAATAAAAGCAGAAGAGATCTCTCATCTCTTGCTTCTCACTTTTTTTTCCATTCTTCTCTCTCTTCCACATACTTCCACTCCTCCCTTCTCTCTTTTCCTTTCCACTTTACTCTTTTGACCAGCAAGGAAAAAGCAGAATAGAGAATGGAACGTAATTTTTAACCAAAAATTATGGTAACATCCGGAAGTGAGGTGTAAGGAATATTGGCGAAAGTTTAGAGATGTATTATGATAATAATCAATGTATTATGATTAGAGATGTATTATGATAATAATCGATGTATCATGATTAGAGATGTATTAATGGTAATAATCGATGAAACCAGTGTTCGGACTTGTCATTTGGGACTTGCCAATCATTTCAGTCATTTGATTTCACATGGTTTTAATCAAAGTAAAGTGCGTAATGTATAAAATGACCCATCATTTGTCATTTGAGAAGTGGAATGACCATTTGAATCATTTGTCATTTCAAGTCATTTGAGAAAAATGAATGTTAGACTATAAATAGTCAACAAAATTTTATGCAAAAAAACTTTCCCTTGGAATATAACAAACTTTCCCTTTAAAATAAACACTTGCAACACTTCCTCATTTTTTCTTCACAAACATGACATACTCAAAATTATTTTCAGGAAATTCATCTGAATTAGGAAATTTACCTGAGTTATTATGTGAAATTATACAATATTTTAGGAATGATTTATCAACATTGTATTCATGTGTTTTAGTCAACAAATTATGGTGTCGCTTAGCAATTCCATTGTTATGGGAAGATCCATTTTCAATTTATGCACAAAATTTTCAATTTATTGACATTTACTTATGTAATTTAAATGAGGATGATAAAACAAAATTTAATGAATATGTAAAACAAAAATTAGCGAATATAGAATCAATATCAAATTGCTCGAGTACATTATTCAATTATACTAGTTTTATTAAATGTTTAAATACACATAAAGTTGTTTGTTCTATTGAAAAATGGCGCTCAGCTTTAATGAATAATAATTGGATCTCTCAATATTAGTTTATAGATTACTATTTAAAATGTTTATTGAAAATGAAGGAAATTTACATTCTTTTGAAGTTGAAGTATGTACATCCAATGATTGTAATTGTCTTAAAGATATTATGGAATTAATTTTACAAAATCCAAATTTTAATTGCAATATTAGAAATTTAATGTTTTCTATAGATGTTATAGATCTTAATACAAATATCTTTTCTTTACTAAAATTTTTATGTTTTAATTGTAATTCAATCTCATCATTTTATATTGGTTATGAATTTAAAGAGAGTAATTACACCTTATTTGAAAAATGTTTAACACAAATAAACCTTTAATACACAACAGAATCTCGAAAAAATTTCATTTGAATGTGATGACTTTGTATTATACAATTTATTTTCATCATTAAAAAATTCCAGTATTTCAAATACTTTGAAAATAATTACATTCTATAAAATTGATTTTAAGAAAATAATTATTAATATTCAAGAAATATTCAATCAATTGAATATTTTAGAAACTATTCATATTATTTATTGTAGTGCTTTAAATTCTGATTTTGTCCAACAAATTATTAATGTTATTAGGCCATTCAAATTAAAATCTTTGATCCTAAGCCATCATCCTTTTCAAGTTGAATCATTACAATTGTTATTACAAAAATTTGGTAGTGATTTAGAAAATTTTGAATTTGGAAAATATAATTTCAGTGATGAATCAAAACAAAAATTATTCAAATCAATTATAGAATATTGTACAAAAATTAAATATTTTTCATTAAAAGATATTAATTTTAATCTAGCACTTAACCTAATTGAAAATATTAAAAAACAAAATCTTAATTATCTTAATATAAGTTTTGATTATTATGGTGATGACTACAAATCAGAAAATTTAGGACAAATTCTTCCTACTAAATTAGAATTTTTAAAATTAGATAATATTAAATCAAGTGATTTGAAAAAATTTTTAGAAAATTCTCAAGATACTTTTATCAAAAGGTTATTTATTAGAACTAAAGTTCAACGGAAATACTTAGATAGTTTGCCTTATATAAAAAAATACATTATGAAAAAGAAAAGGGTTAAATATTTAGCCATATTATTTGATAATAATGAATTTATTTTTTATCAAGGTTCGCTTTCTTTTAATGACTTGTACACTCACTTTAATGATTTTTGTAACTTTGTTAATAAAGACTTGGTTTCTTTGGAAGATGAAGTAAAAGAATTTGAATTATATAATATTAAAGTTCAAAAATATGATATTAAAGCTATTTGTGAACAATTAGTTGGGTGAAACAAAATATTTTTTAACTTTATATATATAATTTACATGATGACTTTTGATTTTTGAAATTAGAAAGTATCTCTGTTCACTAAATCTTTAAATAACTTTGAAGTCCATTGTCTCTAAAATAGCTGTTATAGTTATTTGAGTTATTATAAGTAGTGATTAAAAAATACGATCACACAGTTACAAAATATTATATTTTTTTTCTTATGATATGGTACAAAAAAAAAATAATAAATTTTTTTTATATGCAATAAAAAATATTTTAAATATTAGTAGGTAAGTCAGCTCCTATTAAATGTCACTGTAATAAATATTTTGTAATAGTTAACATTTTTTTAGAGAAAGAATAGGAATAATTTTTTATCTGATCATGTTACAATAAAACAGAGAAAAAAATTTAAATTGATATTCCTTCTTGTTAAATTTGTTAAATTTTAGTTAAATTTTACAGGTAATACAAATATATATGCCAGCAAAGTCACGTGGAGCGGAAAAGTGATGGTGATACTTGGTAAATGGTGAAAATCGGCCATCCTTAACCTGATCCACCGGTCCAGTTGCTTATCCTTGACCGATCAAATTTGATTGGACAACCTATTTTGATTAGTATCGTGGATTATTTTTCAGATTACCGCATGTATTTTTCCTTCTCTCTTCCGTAATACTCGTAATACTCATGTTTTCATATTTCACTTTTTATTTTTATTAAAAAATATTATTTTTGGTTATATCATAGTTGAATAATAAATATTGCTAATATTGCTATTTTTTATCACGAAGCTATGGCATTTTCACAACTATATTAACTCTGTTGACAATTTTTACATTGGAACACTCTTAGAATTGACTCCGAAAGATAGAAATATTTTAATAATTATTTAATTATATTTATTTATGAATTATGAGTTTTGTAACAATAAAACGTAAACTTTTTTTAAAATATTATTAAAATATAAATAAAGTTATAGTATATATTGCTATTTGTGTATAAAATACAAATATTCAAACATAAAGTTTGCTCGCCAGACAAATCGTTAGTTGTTTCGCTCAAAAAAATTACTTTGAGTTGAATTTTGTTTTCTTCACTCCCTTTTTAAAAAATAACTTCACGAAATTTTTTCTAAGGCAAATGTTACACAAACCAATCTTCATCCAATCAATTTGAGCATCCAGACCATGGTCCAGGCTCGTGAAAATCCCTATTATTTGTCACATGCTTAACACCGATATGGAATGATCACCATGGAACTTGATGGAAAGGTCATTGTCAATGAGTCAAGGAGTCTAATTATTAAATGGATCCGATCTCATATAAATAGAAACATTATTTGTACTGAAACTTTCACATTATAGTTTTACTCTTAAAAATGTTCGAATTTTTAAATAATACACTATTGTTTAACATTTCTTTAATAATAAAATATTATCTTATCGGACCACCTAAACCTTCATGGGATTTAAAATTTTATCAAATTTGGGCAATGATAAAATCAATGTTCGAAAATACTACTATGACAATTGAGCAAAAACAAAGTGCTAGTTTTCGACCTGATCCTACACCAGCTGGTGTGATGATAAATGAATTCAAAATAAATAATAAATATTGACATGAAGCTCAAGTTCATCTTAATGAAATTTTGAAACCTTACGAACATGTCTTAGATCCTGAATGGAAAAATTTGAAAGATGATGGAATTAACGCCGAATAGGTTCACGTTCCCAATGATGGATGGGAAAAAAGAGAAATTAGGAAAACTATTTTGTACTTTCATGGTGGAGCTTATTATTTGCGTAATAAAGATTCTAGTCGTAATTTTACTTGTTCTTTAGCAAAATGGACAAATGCAAGAGTTTTAGGTAAATCAAAATCTTAAAAGAATGAAATATTTAATAAATTTTTATTTTATTTATACCTAACTAAAATTTTATTTTATAGCAATCAGTTATCGGCTTGCACCTCAAAATCCATTCCCTGCCGCATTACACGATGCATTTGCTGCTTATTTGTACCTCTTAAATCCTCCAAAAGATACGGGATTAGAACCTTTAAATCCAAAAAATATTGTATTTGCTGGTATTAGTGCTGGAGGCGGTTTAAGTTTGGCTCTTGGTCTTGCTATACGTGATGCTGGTTTGCCATCATGCGCTGGTATCAGCTGTTGGGTAAATAAGGGATTGATTTTTTTTATTGTGTTGAATTACTAACCAATTTACATGATTATATTGTATCACGTTACAGGGCCCGTGGGTTGACCTTACACATAGTACTCCTTCAAATCTAGATGACGAATGTGCTGATTTTATGCCAAAATTCAAAGGAAGTAATATTATTCAAGCAAAATCTCAAGTTCTTAGTGAATATAAAGAAAAAACTGCTGCCCTCACAGAAAAGATTAAGAAACAAAATCTTGGCCCCAAAATTTGGCATGATTCTTTTGATAGACCTGATGGAGTATTGCAATTCTATGCACCTAATGAAGGTCTAGCAATTCCATATGTTAGTCCAATGTTAGCTGAAAGCTTAGGAAATTTGCCTCCTTTATTATTGGTGAGAAAAGGTATTTCTTATTAATTCTCTCTTAGATAACTTTGCACTAAGTAAAAAAATATATTTAAATAATACAGGTTACAGGAGATGAAGAAAGAATACGAGATGAAATAATTTATCTCGCCCATAGATCTGCTGAACCAACTAAATATAAGGGTCCATCTTATAATGCTGGTAAATTTGAAAAATCTCCATTCCAAACTCCGACAAATACTACACTCGAAATATATGAAGAAATGCCTCACGTATTCCAAGTAAAGAGCATTTATTTTAAAATAGAAAAATGTACTTTTGTGCAATTATTTTTATTAAAATTAATTCTTTTATTAATATATCCTAGATGATGGAACATTTTAGCACTACAAAGTCGTATGAACGTACATCTGAATTCATAGATAGAGTGATAAATTCTCCTAACGAGCCACTTCCTCCTTCCTCTTATAATTATATAAGTATTAAGGGAGAATTTAATCCTTTAAAAGAACATCATAAAAAGGTTCTTGATTGGGAAGAAATTGGTATTGTACCAAGTGTCACACGAAATGAATTCAATTCTACTACCTCACATATATTGTAAGTAAATCAATAATTAAATTTAAATTTATAATATAATAAAAATATGTTAATTTACTTGAAAATTTCTTTTTTAGGACACCAAAACTTCTTATATCCATCGGTATTATCAGTGTTCTCGCTTATATTCTTTATTGATTTATTTTTTTATTTATTTGTTTATATATTTTTTTTTTTTTTTGTTTTATTTTTTTTTTTACTTTGTAAGTTATTAAAATATTCGCATACTGAATTATCTATCATAAAATCACAGTATATGAATTGGGGATCAGTTTAAATAAATTTTATTTTATTTTATTTCATTTTATATTAAGGAGAATTACAATGAAGGAATCGCTATTATAATTAAGAAAAAGTGCAAGACACTATAAAAACCTCGCCCCAAAATAATGACAAAAATCACTTAAGTGGCCCCTTACTAATTTTGGAAGACTATCCAGGACTCCGACCAAGCTAGGATAGGAAAAACGAAATAAATAACGCACTGGGGAAAAAGAGTATGAGAAAAATAATGGGAAAGAGTGAAAAAAAATTAAAGCTAAAAAAAACCCGAAGAACTGAACTTACAACTACCCACAAACACCTAACCACCACCTTTAAGTTCACCAGCACACCAACTGTGGTTTCTACAAAAGAAGAAACAGAAGGAGGTCAAAATTTGTTTCGGAATGATGACGGAGCGCCTGCTGATCTCTAGAAGTATTTTCCTCAAAATCTAAGAAAGGAGATTCAGGATTAATTCCAGCAAGGAACGCGTATTGTTCATTTTCTAATGCTTCTTGGAGTTATCACGTGACTTAGTCGAAAGAGGTAGATTGCTTAGAATCCGCCTTTTTCCACTTGCTGGATTTCGAGTTTTGCTTTTTGTCTTGTTTAGACGTGTGCGATTGTTTCTTGAATGGGGTTTGTGAGGTTGGCTTCCAAATATGCTTGGCTTCCATAAACGAATGGAGGTCTTTCTGCGATTCAAAATACGCAATCACAATTTTTTTTCCCACCATCAGGAGTTATATTTTTTGTAGAGTCTATGTAATATCTATAATACTATATATATCCAATGTAAATTTATTATATAAATATTTTATATAATTGTAGAAATATTATAGATATTCTGCATAAAATTAGCATAAATATAGAATTATTTAGATATAAATTTATGAATAATTTATAGTTAAGTAAATTTTATACGAGTATTAATATAAAATTGCATGTTAGTTAAATATAAATTTATATGTAATTTACAGTTAAATAAATATTATATGGATAGTATTTATATAAAATTTTCATATAAATATATTTTATTTAATTTTCATATACAGTATGTGTAAAACTACTAACACAATATATAAAAAATTTTATCAATATAGTACGGACCTAAAATTTCGTGGAAAATACATACTATGGACAATGACCGTAATGCAGCGAGTTCGTCGAGGAGTAGCAGTTGATGCGGGTCATTTGTTACTATGCAGATAAGTGATCATTTTTTCAAAATCGGGTAATGGTCCTACTCAGTCCTACTCGGTCTGGTCTAAGCCGGTCCCGGTCTTTGTAGGACTGGACCGCGGTCATTGCTCATTTGTGGTGCAGTAGGACCATCTTGCTTTAAACTGTGGTGGTTTTTGATTAAACCTTTTATGTGAATTTTTCCTTCCTAAATCACTTAACCTAGAATAGTCCCAACTTTCATTATCTTCATTTTTAAATTCTTTGTCAATTTTTTATATTTAATTCAACATCATCTTCTACTTCTGCAACTTCTTATAATTCTGAACCCATACATCTTCTCATCTTTTTTTCTTCGTTACTTTCTTTCACTGCAGAATCGTATAATGAATTTATTTCAAATATTTTTCTATAATTTTTAAATTTATGTATGTACTATGTATTTGTATATTTTAATCGTATATCTGTGCACTTTTTAGATCTTTATTTTTAAAAACATACTCATTTTAAGCACGTGATTATACGATTCGCTCCAACTATCCCTCCTACTTTATCTATATAGTCTCTTTATTTTTATTATTGCCATCAACCTCTTTCCGTTCATTGTGTCATTATCATATTTCTTTTATACCTCCTAAAATATCTACCTCTAATCTAATGTCAAAATCTCTACAAAATACTCAAATTCTCTATAACATTATTCGTTATCGGAAAAAGATATCAGTACCAATGATGTCATGATTATTCTGTTGGAATGTCGATCACTCTCTTGTCACAAGATTTACATTTCACATACTTTTAGTGTCTTAGATCTCACTATTTGGAAATCAAGTGACAAAGTCCGGTGGTGGTTGAAATCAGAAACTTCTATTGATGAAGATGATGAGTCGCCAGTCACTCGCTACTTTTTCAAATTGCTACAAAATTTGTGTTTGATAAAAACGCAACTAAGAATAATACTTTTGTAATTAAAGCATGTGTTCAAAATATGTTAGATCCTGAACACCAAAGACTGAAATGGACGAAGATTATATTATTTCAAAATTAAATCAACATGCAGTAAGTATAATATAAATTCAATATTAATTATTATATATAATTTTTTTTATAAACGTGATATTTTTTTTATAGGATAATGAATGTAATAATGATGATGATTTTATTTCAATATTATTAGATGATTGTAAAATTTAATAGCTATAGAACAATATAATTGTATAATATTTCAAAGTAGACAACGATAAATTTGCAATTTTAATATTAAATATAATACTTATATAAAAGATACTGTACATATAATTTTATTTGAATTTAAAATAAAAAATTTGTATAACTTTACATAAATCTATTTTACACATAAAATCATATTCACATGAAATCCACGTTGGGTACTTAAAACTACATAGAATAGTATATGTAGATTTTTATTTTTATTTTTATTTTTATTTTTAAAATATAGACACGACTGGAGTATAACGTTACATAAGAATAGTTATAAACTAATAGTCTATTAAATTCTAAGCTAATGATAAAACCCAACCTCTCGGGAGAAGCCCGAAGAAGTCGTCCTGCCTGATTATTTAAAAAAACAACCCAGACATAACCTAAGTCGTGAAAGGACTATCTAAAGAAAAAGTCGAACTAAAAAAATTAAAATTAAAATTACAATGAAAAGAAAAATTATATATATCTAACTCGAAACTACTAGGTTGCCGGATAGAAGATAACCATCCACCAGAATGTAAGTACACAGGATCAACCACATCGGTAGTGCTGAGGTAGTTATTGGATGAGTAGATGGAGGCGCGAAAGACCATGGATGATGTGCGCGAGAATTAGAGCCATCTGAGGGTGAGTTATTCATCCATAAGTGTGAAAGAGGCGGATCCTGTGACTGGACTGAGGCAATATGTGCAGCTCTAGAGCGAGTAGGTTTTGTTCGTGTTTTATTCGATATGAATCCATAAATAAAAATTGCATATTTTTTTGGTCATGTGTTAAGGTCACGTGATGAAATACGTTATGATTCGGTTATTTTAACTATGGCGCCATGCGTAATTATCAGGGATGCTTGAGAATTTTACAAGTACGATAACTTCACAATGTACTTGTATCTTTATACATACTTAGGTATGATACCAAAATTTATAAAAAGTTACTTACAACATCCAGTAGAGTTTTAAGAACATGTAATAACAAGTATAATATCTTTATTTAAATATTAAAATATTAAATAACAATTAATTATAGATATAATAGAACTGCCATATTTCATTCTCTTTAATATTTACTGGCATAATGATATAAAGTTTATTTATTATAATTTTTTCAATAAAATATACGTTTTTGTGATATATTATTATACAATTGTATTCGTCTACATAATTTTTTTTTTAAAAAAAATTATACGTTATTTAGTTCATTTTTTAGTACTTACAAAGAATCAAGGTCTGATGAGTTATCAAATTATTTATATCAATATATTCAGAAAACATATTAAAACATATATATTAAGAAAAATTTTTTTACAAATAAATAAGAAAAATTGCAAGAAAGAAGTATTATCTTGGAGCTGGTAGTAGTGGATTTATGATCATTTTTCTTATACAGTATATTATTATTTCATCCTTTTGTTAAAGGTCAGATTAAGATAATTAAAATTTGTATATCTGATATAATCGTAATAAATATATTATCAAATTTATATTTTTTGTTTATAATAAATAGTAATTATGATAAAATAAATTAATAATAAATAAGTCGTTGACATTTTTATATTATTACTATAATAATAATAATATACTTTGCTAACAATGCTAAATTTTCAGAATGCATTGTGCGATCCTTGTACAAGCCTTGTACAAATCTGAAAATATTTCCAACAATACATTTTAATATTAATTTATTCACAATAAATTGTAAAATTCATAATTCTGATACATTTTTCAATGAGACTTATAATTTTTTACAATGTTTTCACAAGACTTTACTTATGTATATATTGTACGAAATATTGTATATTGAATTTCACAATTAATTATTTATAACTTTATAACATAAATTTTACAATTAGTAGAAAAATTAGTATTACAATCTATAATGTGATGAACAATAATTTTTAATTTTATAATTTTTAATTATAACTTTATTATAATTACAAAAGTAATCAATTCCGAAATCAACGTCTTCATTTCCGTTTCACATTCTCGCTCTTTACCTTTGTCGTTAATCTAAATAATTCTTTTAAATTTTTTATTCAAATTATCAAAATCTTCAATTCTTTCTTTAGTTGGACCCTTTGAACTCTCTAGACTATCCGTTGCCTCATAGAATTAGAATTGTTCATCCTCCGATGTATGATTAGCATTATTGTTTGGCGTCGTCTTTTAAATTCTCTTTTGAATTCTCCGCGTCACAAACGTACCATTCTTCAAAATAATTTCATCTTAATTTATAATTATATTAAAAACCCTATGGGCTTTTCGTAAAGTTTATATTAGATATATAAGATATATATATATGTACGTATATGAGCACATGTATACATATCATTAAAAATATAAAAAAAAAGAATTTTGTTTTTTGAGAAACCCCCTATTTATATAAAATTACGTATCACGTGTATGTGATATAATCCGCAGTTTGAATAACTAACTTTTTTTTTTAACCTTTTTTTTTAATTTTAAACTTTTTTTTAAAACTTTTTTCTTTTTCTTTTTAATTTTTTTTTAAAACCTTTTTTTTAAACTTTTTCCCTTTTCCTTCGTTCACCCTTCACTTCTCTTTGTACCCTTCCTTCGTCTCTCCCTCATTCTTTCCTTCCCTTCCTTTCCCTTTTCCCTTTACTTTTACATTTCCCTTCTCTTTTCTTTCTCTTTTCCCGCTTCTCTCGCACTTTTTGTTGAAGAAATCTTAAGCGTTTTTCTCCTTAGGTGCAAATTTCTGGTAAGTTTGTCTTTTTTTTAATTGTTTCATTTTAACGAACGATTTCTAATAGTTGTTTTTATTACTTTTTTTTAGACTTCGAGTATTTAGACACGTGGGAATATGTGGGGAAATTTTTTCTTAATTATCTATTTTAATGAAACATTTTCTAACGTTTCAAATTTTTTCTTTTTTTAGACGCTTCTTACGGTCTTCTTGGACCGGCATCATTTTTTTTTATTTGATTGTTTTTATTTTACGAACGATTTTAATAGTACATTTAACTTTTTTTTAGACGACTTGGTTTTTCGACTATTTTGACGCGTGAGGAAATTTTTTTTTTCTTAATTATATATTTTAACGAAACGTTTTCTAATGTTTCAGTTTTTTTTTTTAGGTAGTTCTTTCGGTCTCTTTGGACGCGAAATTTTGGTAAGCTATTTAAATTTTTTTCCTTAATTGTATTGTTTTAACGAACGTTTCTAACAGTTCGTTTACTTTCTTCATCTATGCATTTCTCTAAAGTCTTTTTGGGAAATGGGATTTTGGAGTGGTAATTTTTTGTTTTTTTTCTTTGATTATTTTATTTAATGAACTTTATTAACAGTTCGTTTTTCTCAGTTTTCTCTTCTTTTAGGGTTTGCCGATTCCCCCTGGAAATGAAAGTTGATGTCATTTCTTCTGGTCTTTCTTATATTTTTGTCTTTGTTATTAACTTTTTCCTTTCTTTTTTTTGTAGGTGTAGGTTTCGATTCTTTTTTCTTTTAGGTTTCGGCGGCTTTTTCGTGTTTCTTTTTTAGGTTTTGTCGATTTCTGGGTGGATTTCATTTTATTCTCATTTTATTTGTCTTAATTACTAACAGTTGTCCTTCTTCTTTGTAGGTTTCGGTACATCTTTTTTTTTGAGGTTTTGGAAGAAGGAAGGTTTTTGTTTTTATTTTATATTTATTTTTTATGACGTCTTTGATACTAATCTTTCTTTTTCTAGATTTTGACTTCATTTCACCCTTGGGATTCGGTGAGAAATCAGAACCCTGGACCGATCAAATTTGATTGGACAACCTATTTTGATTAGTATAGTGGATTGTTACCGCATTTATTTTTCCTTCTCTCTCTTTCGTAATACTCGATTTATATTTCATTTTTTATTTTTATTAAAAAATAATATTTTTAGTTATATCATAGTTGAATAATAATATTGCTAATCTTGCTATTTTTTATCAACTCTGTTGACAATTTTTACATTGGAACACTCTTAGAACTGACTCTGAAAGATAGAAATATTTTAATAATTATTTAATTATATTTATTTATAAACTTTTTTAAAAATATTGTTAAAAATAAAATTATAAAGAGTACGATCCTATATTACTATTTGTGTATAAAATATAAATATTCAAACATAAAGTTTGCTGGCTACTAATAGATGACAAATTGTTAATTGTTTCGCTCAAAAAAATGAATTTTGTTTTCTTCACTCCCTTTTTTCTCAGACATATTACTTATATAGTGTTACACAAATAATCTTCAGTCAGACGGCTCGACGGCTCGTGAAATCCTATTTGTCACATGATTAACTTCAGCCAAGTTCTATATGGAATGATCGCCACGGAACTTGATTGGAAAGGTTATAGATCATAGTACGTACTTTCTCAATGAGTCAATGAGTTCATTTTTAAATGAATTCTCATATAAATAGAAACATTATTTGTACTAAAACTTTCACATTGTAGTTTTACTCTTTTGAAAATGATCGAATTTGTAAATAATACTCTATTGTTTAACATTTCTTTAAGAATAAAACATTATCTTATCGGACCACCTAAACCTTCATGGGATTTAAAATTTCATCAAATTTGGGCAATGATAAAATCAATGTCCGAAAACACAAGTACTATGACAATTGAGCAAATGCAAAGTGTTAGTTTTCAACCTGATCCTACACCAGCTGGTGTGATGATAAATGAATTCAAAATAAATAATAAATATAAACATGAAGCTCAAGTTCATCTTAATAAAATTTTGAAACCTTACGAACATGTCTTAGATCCTGAATGGAAAAATTTGAAAGATGGTGGAATTAACGCCGAATGGGTTCACGTTCCTAATGACGGATGGGAAAAAAGAGAAATTAGGAAAACTATTTTGTACTTTCACGGTGGAGCTTATTATTTGTGTAATAAAGATTCTTATCGTAATGTTACAGGTTCTTTATCGAAATGGACAAATGCAAGAGTTTTAGGTAAGTCAAAATCTTAAAAGAATGAAATATTTAATAAATTTTTATTTTATTTATACCTAACTAAAATTATATTTTATAGCAATTGATTATCAGCTTGCACCTCAAAATCCATTCCCTGCCGCATTACAAGATGCATTGGCCGCTTATTTGTACCTCTTAAATCCTTCAAAAGATACGGGATTCGAACCTTTAAACCCAAAAAATATTGTAATTGCTGGTGATAGTGCTGGAGGCGGTTTAAGTTTGGCTCTTGGTCTTGCTATACGTGATGCCGGTTTGCCATCATGCACTGGTATCAGCTGTTGGGTAAATAATGGATTAAATTTTTTTTTATTGTGTTGAATTACTAATCACTTCACACGATTATATTGTATCACGTTACAGAGCCCGTGGGTTGACCTTACACAAAGCACTCCTTCAATGCAAGATGACGAATGTGCTGATTATATTCCAAAATTCAATGGAAATAATATTATTCACGCAGAATCTCAAGTTTTTAGTGAATATAAAGAAAAAACTGCTGCCCTCACAGAAAATATTAAGAAACAAAATCTTGGTCCCAAAATTTGGCATGATTCTTTTGATAGACCTGATGGAGCATTACAATTCTATGCACCTAATGAAGGTCTAGCAATTCCATATGTTAGTCCAATGTTAGCTGAAAGCTTAGGCAATTTGCCTCCTTTATTATTGGTAAGAAAAGGTATCTCTTATTGCTCTCTTAGATAACTTTGCACTAAAAAAAAGAATATATTTGAATAATACAGGTTGCTGGAGATGAAGAAAGAATACGAGATGAAGTAATTTATCTCGCCCATAGATCTGCTGAACCAACTAAATATAAGGGACCATCCTATAATGCTGGTAAATTCGAAAAATCTCCATTTCAAACTCCGACAAATACTACACTCGAAGTATATGAAGAAATGCCTCACGTATTCCAAGTAAAGAGCATTTGTTTTAAAATAGAAAAATATACTTTTTTTGCAATTATTTTTTAATACAATTAATTCTTTTATTAATATATCTTAGATGATGGAACATCCTAGCACAACAAAGTCGTATGAACGTACGTCTGAATTCATAAATAGAGTGATAAATTCTCCTAACGAGCCACTTCCTCCTTCCTCTTATAATTATATAAATGTTAAGGGAGAATTTAATCCTTTAAAAGAACGTCATAAAAAGGTTCTTAATTGGGAAGAAATTGGTATTGTACCAAGTGTCACACGAAACGAATTCGATTCTACCTCACATACCTCACATAGATTGTAAGTAAATAAATAATTAAATTTAAATTTATAATATAATAAAAATATGTTAATTTACTTGAGAATTTCTCTTTTAGGACACCAAAACTTCTCGTATCCATCGGTATTATCAGTGTTCTCGCTTATATTCTTTATTGATTTATTTTTTTATTTATTTGTTTATATTTTTTTTATTTGTTTATTTATTTTATTTATTTTATTTGTCTATTCTTTTGTCTATTCGTTTATTTTTTTTTGTTATTTTCTTTATGTTTTATTTTTTATCTTTATTTTTTTTACTTTGCAAGTTATTTAAATTTCAATAAACGTAGTGAAAAATATTCGCATACTGAATTATCTATCATAAATAAAAATTACATATCAATATAGTTTTTTGGTCGGGTCAAGGTCACGTGATGAAATACGTTTTGATTCTGTTATTTTAAGTATGGCATGTGTAATTATCGCTTTGAGAATTTTACAAGTACGATAACTATTTGCAAATCGCAATGTACTTGTATCTTTATACATATTTAGGTATGATACCAAAATTTATAAAAAGTTACAACATCCAGTAGAGTTTTAAGAACACGTAATATCAAGTAGTATAATATTGCATCTTATCAAATATTAAATAACAATTAATTGTAGATATAAATAATGCTACTTAAACAGAATTAATTTTTTCTTGAACTGCCATATTTCATTCTCTTAATATTTATTAGCGTAATGATATAAAGTTTATTAATTTTAATTTTTTTAATAAAATATGCGTTTTTGTGATATATTATTATACAATTGTATTCGTTTACATGATTATTTAGTTTTCATTCAATTGCAATTTGATGATCTATTTCATTTTTATATTATTTCATTTTTTAGTACTTACAAAGAATCAAAGTCTGATGATTTATCAAATCATCTAAATCAATATACTGTATTCAGAAAACATATTAAAAATTAAAACATACTGTATATATTAAGAAAAAAAAAAATTTATAAGTAAATAAATAAATAAGAAAAATTGCAAGAAAGAAGTATTATCTTGGAGCTGCTGGTAGTAGTGGATTTATGATCATTTTTCTTATATATTATTATTTCATCCCTTTGTTAAAGGTCAGATTAAGATAATTAAAATTTGTATATAATCGTATTAAATATATATATTATCAAATTTATATTTTTTTAAATGGTAGTTATTACGATAAAATAAATTAATAATAAATAAGTCGTTGGCACTTTTTATATTATTATTATTATAACAATAATAATATATACTATTAATTTTGAAGATTTAGAAGTTTTCCATTTACATAAAATTCAATTGGACTATTCCTGTTGTAGACCAAACTTGACCATGTCCCAAACAAAATCTAATAATGCCTTAAGACTGTAACAACATTCACAAGTCCATTTTTTACGTTTAATTCATCCGGTTGATCCGTGGATCATATGATGCCGCGCTAGATGCAGATCCTTTGCAATTTAAATTTTCACTTAATACTATAATATTTGTGACGCAGCAATCTTGATGATAACTTTTTTTTGGTAGAAAATTGAACCCAATGACATAACTCAGGAAAAATTATAGTGCCGGCCAAAAATTAAAATTTTATTTAAGGGCCATAAATTTTATTTATTAAGACCAACCAATCCACAATTTTTTTCTGGAAAGTGGAAATATCCGGATTTATTGTAACGTAAGATGGTGAAAATTTGAGTAATTACATTACTCCCCACGGAACGTAAGATGAAATTTTTACCCAATTGTGATATTTCTTTTATGATATAATTTCAGTTTCATATATAATAACAATAATTATGTTACATCACGCTCTAAAATTGCATCAGGAGAATAAAGTAAGCGTAGATCTACAAAATAATACACATGTGAAAAAACTACGCAAATCTACACCACTCGCGACAATATACGAGTGTGAAAATATTAGAAAATTTTCAATGGTATAAAATAGAAAAACGAGTAGTTTTTTAATAGTAAAAAATAATGTAGTTACCTTAATAGCAAAATAATAAAATTTTTCTTTTTATAATTTTTTTTCTAACTTTTCTTTACTTGAGTATTTTTCCGATATTTTGATATTTTTCTACATTTTTGTTATTTTTTTTTTACCTACACTAAGAGTCGAACTGAATACCTCAAGATAAATTATTACACTATTTCTTTTTTTTTAATTATTAATATTATATTTCATATTATCTTAGAATAAAGACATGCTTAAACCTTTGTATTTATGTATTTATATAATTCTTTTAGAGTGTAGATTATGAAAATATATTACAAAACTTACCTATTTGTGTAAATTTTACACAACTTTTTTAGATACAAATTTATTCAAAATATTTTAAGCTACATACATTTTCGTGCGTGGGTTATGCAAAATCATGTATTTATGCAAATTTCTAAAGCGTAGATTACCGAAACTACCAGGACCCAGAAATATATATATAGGGGTCAGGTGATGAAAAAAATTTTTTACTATGAGCTGTACGCATTTTTTCAGGGCCGGAATTATGATAATGTCAGTCGATTACTATAATAGGAAATAAAATTCTGACTGGAATTATCAAAAATTATCTAAAAAAGGAAAGATTTTCATGATTTTTTTAGTTCAAAATACGCAAACTCAAACCTGACCCTTTTATATATTTCTGGGTCCTAAACTACCTACTTGTGTAAAATTTATAAAACTTTTTAAGTTACAAAATCAATAAAGTATTTTTCAAATTGTTTTTATGTGTAATTACTTAAAATCATATATTTAAGAAATTATTTCAAGACGTAAAACTTTGAAACTAGTACCTATTCATGAAAAACTCATGCCATTTTTTAAGATACACTCTATTAAATAACTATGATTTAAAGTGTACATTATGAAATCGTACTATATTTATAGATTTTTACGGAGTATAAATTTCCAGGTATTCTACATATTTGACAACTTTACACTAATATTCACCTCATATAACCTCCTGGTGTAAGATTAACACTTCAAATAACAAATTTATATACAGAATATTGAGCATTATAAATTTTAGTAAAAAAAAGAATATACCATCATATTGATGGCACATTATTCAGATATTTGTCCGAAACGTAAGCGTAGGACACATTCAATTACAGTGTAAATACTAGGATCCTGTGTAACCATCAATTTTTAATTGATTTTCGTGATTTTGTTTATCGAAAATTCGCAACGTAGCACAACGAATTTAAATATACATTTGTTTAGCTTTACATTTTTTTTAACTATGTTTTCAACGATACATTTTTTTTAACTATATTTTTAAGCGATACATCTTTTTTAACTATTTTTAAATAATACATTATCATGTGATTTTAACGTCTCGGATACTCCAACAAGTTCCTGTTACCTAGTTTTTATTATAAAGAGCGAATAAATAAACAAATATTCTTTATTTTATTATAAGGAATAAATAAACAAACAATTAAATAAAACAATTAAGTTTTAAAAAAAGAACAACACAATTTATTTTTATCAAAAATGATAAAAATATTAGTAATAAATTAATTAGGTTCATTTTAGTGGTTAAATATGTTTATGTTTCAAATATCCCTCATTCAGTGCCTTTATTTGGAAATTTAACAAAAAAGCAAATATTTGTTTTGAAATAAAAATAAAACATAATATTTCACATTTTCACTATTTTTGGGAAGTCAATTTTATTTTGTTTATTTTATTTTATTTTAAGGTAAGCCATCAATTTTTATTTTGTTACACGACGGATTTCCAGGTCACGTGTAACGTTTATGTGTAAATTTTGTATCACGCTAATAATTTTATTGATTTGTATTCAAAATTTTCGACGATCACGGACCGAACAGCTTCATTTTAATTATAACTTGTTTTTTAACTCTATTACTGTTTTTTTTTCTTATTATTAAATTTCTCTTATGGCAAATACTAAAATAATACGACGAAAGTCCCTTGGGAGAGGCGCATTTATTGGATCCTTATATAACGCCGCAAGCGATACGTTCTGCGGGACCACGATATTGAAGTCAGAGTATCCAAATGATTCCGTAAGAAGAGCTGACATTCCTCATGCCGAAATTTTATATGAATATGAGGATACATATAAGGAAAAGTTTAACAAGTTAGACGTTGGAGCCGAATTAAAACTAAGTGTACTCGCAGGGCTGTTTACTTTGGAAGGATCGGGAAAGTATTTAAACGATGTAAAAGAAAGTTTTAGAGCTGTAAGAGGAACTTTAATATATAAAATGACTTCGGTCGAGGAAAATTTGGATATACATCGTGATGATGTTAAATCGTGTATTTCTACAGATGTGTTTAGTAATAATCAAAATGCTACTCACGTGGTGATAGGAATAAAATGGGGAGCTGCTATGATGGCATCATTTGAATGCAAAGATACGAATGAAGAAAGCAGATCTCAAGTTGAAGGAGCGCTAAAATGTCACTTTGAAAAAATAACTGTATCTGGAGAGAGTCACGTAGATGTCGATGAAGGACAATCGAATATTATAAGCCGTTTCTCTATAAAACTTCTTGGTGATGTAGTTCCAAATAATAAAGAGCTTCCTCAATCCTTTGATGAAGCCAGGAAAGTAATCGCCGAACTTCCTTTATATACTAAACAATATAATAATGGTAAAGGAGTTCCAATTGAATATATTTTATATCCATTATCGGAACTTGCAAAACTACTTACTCAAAATTTCACGATTGACAATATGGTAACAGAACTAAGCGAAGAAACAATTCTAAGAGTAGAACAAGTTTTTGATGGTTTGTCCGAATCAAAACAAAAGCTTAATGACTTATATAATGATGCGCAGTCTATTTCTGAACTCTTACCGGACGAGGTTTTTGATCAAATTAGCAATCGTGTACAAGAAGTTAGAATAAATGAGGCAAAATTCAGACGTGAACTTGCAGAATGTCTTGTTAAAGTACGTTCTGGTAAAAGCAATATTATTGAACTTGAGAATAAATTAAAAACATTTCATAAGGGTGTATTATCCAAAAGTTTTATGACAGAATTTATTCATCAACATCTTTCAGTATCTAATTTGGCCGACTTGGTACTTATATTAAAGGCCAAAAAAGTGGAATATCTTGGAAAGAATTCAAAAATTGAACATATTTTACATAAATATTCAACTAATGATATTTATGTACTCCTTGGTTATGATGAATATATTATTGATGGTAATTCATCTCCAGTACATAGTATGTTTCGAGATCTTTACAATTCGGACGAAGGGTCAAGCAAGTTTTTCATAGTTAATCTTAAAATATGCACTCAAATAAAATGTTCTAGTTATCCAATAATTCAACATTATATTAATGGAAGATTAAATAGCAACAACTATTATGATGATAACAAAGTATTGTTCACATCTAACCTTATCAAATTTAATCCTCTACCAAGTAACAAGCCAAAAAATGATCCCAGAGAGAAAGTAAGATTAGTAATACCTTGTCCTCAAGATTGTCCAACTACAGATTACAATTGGAGATGTTTCAGGTGTAAACAGAACATAGAATACGGCTACAACCAACACTTGTATTGTAAATGTGGTGAAAGTAGCATTGCTCATTCTAAATTTAAGTGTAATAGTCCCCATCACATAAAAGGATACACATCTTTTGAGTTGAACAAATTCATTGATCTGTTACCATTAGCACCACCTCAGGAAGAGATAAACATATTATTGCTTGGTGAAACTGGCGTGGGAAAATCAACATTTATAAATGCTTTTGCAAATTATCTTAAATTTAACACTTTAGACAACGCAAAATCTGGAGATATGGAAATATTGATTCCATCTGAATTCACAATTACAGATGATAATTACGAGACAAAAACGATAAAATTAGGTAATTATGATTCAAATGAACCATTAGAAGTAGGCGAGTCATCTACTCGAGAATGCAAAAGCTATGTATTTCATGCAGCTGAGAATAAGCTCATCAGATTAATAGATACTCCTGGAATAGGAGATACCAAAGGATCAGAATATGACGTTAAAAATTTTGAAAACATTCTGTGGTATATTAATTATTACCGGTATTTAAATGGGATATGTATCCTTCTTAAACCTAATAATGCACGACTAAACGTAATATTTAAATATTGTATACAAGAATTGTTATCCCATCTTCACAAGAATGCTAAAGATAATATTGTCTTTTGCTTTACTAATGCCAGAGAAACGCATTATCGTCCAGGAGATACATTACAACCACTTAAAAAACAACTTGAGGATCTTAAGAAGCAATCTAAGTCTGGTGTTGAAATAAAAGTTCACAAAGATACAATGTACTGTTTTGATAACGAATCATTTAGATTTTTAGCAGCAATTAAGGAAAATATAAAGTTTACAGAGATTGAGGAACGAAATTTTGCAGAAAGTTGGAAAAAATCCGTGGATGAGTCACTAAGGCTTATTGAAAATCTTGTAAAACGTCAACCCCACATAGTAGAAGATACTATATCACTCAATAACTCTAGAAATATAGTAATACTACTTTCCAAACCTCTTGCAGAAATAGAACATCTAATTCAACAAAACATCAAATTAATAAAAGAAAAACAAGAAGAAGTAAATAACTCCAATAAAACTATAGAAGAACTTAAAGGAAAGCTTTATATTGAACAGTTAGATCTAGAACCAGTAAATTTAGGATATCCTAGAACTGTATGCACCAATAATAAGTGTGTAGAGTTATTGCAAATTGATTATACTAATATCGTAAGGATAAACTATGTTAAGCACTGTTGTTCACACTGTTTTTTGAGGTTTTCTAAATATAATATAATAAACAACAAAGTTTTGATGTTTTGTTCAGCAATTAAGTTGAAAGATGGCAAATGTAAAGTCTGTGGTTGTCACTGGGATAAACATATGCATATTACTTACGAGAATAAATATATATTCAACAAAATTATAGACAAAAATATTGAAGACCAGATTTCGGAAAATAAATCGGATCAAGAATTTAAAAGAGAAATTATAGAGGAGTATCAAAGAAGAGTTGACCAGCAACGAAAAGAACAGGAGGAAATACAAGAAATTAGCCTTAAGTTTGCACAATTCCTAAGACAAAATGCAATAGCCGCTTACAATGATGCATATGTAGATTATCTAGATCTTTTTATAAAGGGAGAAAAAATAAAGAAAAATGCCAACCCAAATCACTATGATGATAGAATTCTCAGAGGACTTGAAACCACAAGAGATAATTACTTGAAACAAGTAGGAGTTATAAAACAAGCTATTGATAGCAACGGTAATTCCAAAATTCTAATTACTCCAAAAGAAATAGCTGAGCTTGAGCAGCAATTGTACAATTTACCAATTAATGGTCAAACTTTGAAAAAATTAAAACAAGAGGCAGAACGTAGTCAAATAGATATGTTCAGGTATACCGAAAATCATTATATTCCTGCCTGGAAATCAGCATCGAATATAATAAACTTTAAATCGAACCCGTTTGCGAAAATTTTTGGTAAGGGATGGTAAGGTTCAAGGAAAGCGTTAGGCATTTTATTTAACATTTAATAACATCATTGTCAAAATCAGGTAAATTAAGTAGTTATAAAAATAGTATTTTAAATGTCCAATATTTTATCTAAGATTCTATTATCTTTCACAATTATAATTCTATATTCATTTATTTCTCTTTAAATACTGTTTACCAATTATTTATAAAATTAACACAAATAATATCGAAAATGAAATTATTAAAGGAAAGAATCATTCGAGAAATGAATTTATTTTATTTTATAATAGGAGAACTTATAGGTCATTACTCTGTCACGTTGTAAGACAATTAATATTGTGACTTAAATTTGGTCACGTTTTCTTTTATCACGATGATCACGTTTTATTCGGTAGGACTGCGCTGCTTCTAATTGAATTAAATGAAGATAACGTTAAAATTTTGAATTTCTACACAATAATCTTAGTTTCATTTGGCCAAATTATAATTTCAGCAATTCAGTTACAGTAAAATCGTATTACAAATAAGCGTTAACAACAAATTTATTCAGTTATTATACATGTATAAAATGATTTTTGAAAATAAATATTTCGTTTACATAATCTTTTTACAATAAAATTATAAATTAATATGCATTAATCGAAAATTGCAATTGAAACGCGGTTATTAATTTTATTTAAATTGAAAACTGCATTACAAAAACAAAAATTTAGAGCCACTTCTAAGAATAGATAATCTAAAAATAAGTATATTTATATATTTGTAATTTAAATCTAAATTAGTCGGTAAACACCGGAATTTATTTGGCTTTATTTGTAAATATTTGTATATAATAATGTATGACAGCGCTGTGTGAGGTTGGTCAAAATTGATGTATTACAGAATAAACACTATAATTATTAAACGCCATAGTTAATTCAGATATTTTGTCGAAATTTTTTTTCTTTATCTAATCATGGAAGATATTAAAAAAATCATAAAACGAAAATCTCTTGGAAGAACCGAATGTATTGGATCTCTATATAATGCCACAAGGGATACATTCTGCAAAACTACGATATTGAAATCAGGAGTTTCAGATGATGCCATGAGGAGAGTAGACATTTCCGATACTAAAATATTATGTGATTATAAAGATTCATATAAGGAAAAGTTCAACAAGTTAGATATTGAGAATGAATTAAGATTAAGTATTCTCACAGAAATTACCGCTCTGAAGAATTCCGGCACATATCTGAGAGATATAAAAAAAAGCTTTAGATCCGTAAGGGGAACTCTTATATATATAATAACTACTATTGAAGAACATTTAGACATTTACCGTGATGATGTTAAAGCATGCATTTCTACAGATGAATTTAACAACTCTGATGCTACCCACATCGTGACAGGAATAAAATGGGGAACAACTATGACGGCAATATTTGAGTGTAAGGACGTGAATGAAGAAAATAGGTCTCAAATTGAAGGAGCATTAAAGTCTCGTCTTAAAAAAATAGCAAATTATGGAGAGGGTCGCATAGATGTTAAAGATGAACCATATAATATAATGGAATGCTTCATCATAAGACTTCTTGGAGATGTTATTCCGCATGATAAAGAACGTACTCAATCCTTTGATGAAGTTATAAAAGTCATTTCTGATATTCCTTTATACATTAAGAAATTTAATAATGGGAAAGGATTTCCGGTTGAATACACATTATATCCATTGTCAGAACTTACAAAACAGCTTTCTCAAAATGTCATTGTCAAAAGTATTGCAACAAAATTTAATGAGGAAACTATTCTAAAAATAGAGCAAGTTTTTGACGGTTTGTCAGAGTCTAAACAAAGGCTTTATGATTTGTATCATGATGCAAAATCTACCTCTGACCTTATACCGAACAAGATTTTTGATGAGATCAATAATTATAGACAAATGTTTAGAGAAGAAAGATCAAGATTTAAGCATGAACTTGCCGAAAGTCTTGTTAAAATACGTTCTGGAAAAAGTAATACTATTGAATTCGAGAATATAATAAAGAAATTTCAGAAAGGTATCTTATCCAAGGATTCTATTATGACATATATTCAGCAACACCGATCAATATCTATAAAGGCCGACTTAGTACTTGCTATAAAGTCCGAAAAAGTGAAGTACCTTGATAACAATTCAACTATCAAGCATATTCTGAATATGCACTCAAACAATCATGTTTTTATACTTTTCGATAACGAAGACTATATTATTGATGAGAATTCTTCATCAGTATATAGCATATTTCGAGACCTGTGCAATTTGAATGAGGGAATAGGCAAATTCTTTATAGCTGATCTTAAAACTTTTACTGGCATAAAAGATCCTGGTCGTTTAGTAATTCATCACTATATTAATGGAAAGCTAAATAGTGATGATTATTATAATGATAATAAAGAACTATTCACATCAAATCTCATTAAATTCGATTCTGAGCCACGCTTCAAACCAAAACATAATCCCAGTGAGAAAATACGATTGACATTACCCTGTCCTCAAGTTGATTGTCCATCTTTAATTTGTGAATGGAAATGTCTTAAATGTAAACAATCTATAGACTATGGCTTCAACTTACGCTTATACTGCAGATGCGGTGAAAGCAAAATTTCTCGTTGCAAGTTCAAGTGCAATAGTTCATATCACATTAACGGATACGTATCTTTTGAATTAAATGAACTTACTGACCTATTACCATCAGCACCTTCACAGGATGAAACAAACATATTATTACTTGGTGAGACTGGTGTGGGGAAAACTACATTTGTAAATGCTTTTGCAAACTATCTCAAATTCAAAACACTAAGCGATGCAAAATCTGGAGACATAGAGATATTTGTTTCGTCTAAATTTACAATAACAGATGAAAACTATAACAATAAGGTAATTAAGATCGGCAAAGCTGACTCAAATGAACAATTGGAGAACGTAAGTGCATCTTCTACCCAGGAATGTAGAAGTTATATATTTCATTTAGCTAAAAATAAGCGAATAAGATTGATTGATACACCTGGTATAGGAGATACTAGAGGGATAGATCAAGACAAGAAAAATTTTGAAAACATATTAAATTTTATTAGTAATTTTAAGTTTTTAAATGGGATATGCATTCTTCTTAAACCTAACAATTCACGACTAAATGTAGTGTTTAGGTTTTATATACAGGAATTATTATCAAATCTTCACAAGAATGCTAAGGACAACATTGCTTTCTGCTTTACTAATTCTAGAGGAACATTTTATCGTCCTGGAGATACATTACCATCACTTAAAAAACAACTTGAGGAGTTCAAGAAGAGATCTACTATTGAAATAAAGGCCAACAAGGAAACGATGTACTGTTTTGATAATGAGTCATTTAGATTTCTAGCAGCAATAAAGGCAGGCGTATCATTTACGGATACAGATGAACAAAGTTTTTCAGAAAGTTGGCACAAGTCTGCAGATGAATCATCAAGGCTCATTAAGTACATTATGACACGTCCACCTCACAAAATAAAGCACACTCTATCACTTAATAATTCTAGAAATATAGTGACAATGCTTTCAAAACCTCTTGCTGAGATAGAACAGCTTATCCAAATAAACATCAAGCTGGTCAAAGAAAAACAAAAAGAATTAGAAAACTTCAACCAAATCACAGAAGAATTTAAAGATAAGCTAAATATTTTACAGCTGAAACTTGAACCAATAGCATTGGAATATCCAAGAACTGTATGCACCAATAGTAATTGTATCAAATTTTTGCAAATTAAACAAACTAATATTAAGACAATAGATTATGCAACACATTGTTGTCCAAGTTGCAATTTAACAAATATTAGATGTGATAAGATAGATGGTACAGCCTTGAGATGCTGCCCGGTGCTTGCTGGAAAATGTAAAGTCTGTGGCTGTTGTTGGGATAAGCACATATATATTACCTACGAAAATAAGATCAATGTAAAAGTGAAGAAGAAATCAACCAAGAAAGCGATTATAGAAAAGTGTCAAAAAAGGATTATCAAGTTACAAAAAGAACAGCGAAAAATCAATGAAATTAATTTCAAGTTCGCACAATTTTTAAGACAAAATGCAATATACAGTTCTTGTGATGCATATGTAGATTACTTAAACCATCTCATAAACGAAGAAAAAAGTAAAAAGAGTACTGATGACGATGATGAAATCATTAATGGACTTGAAATCACAAAAAGAAATTATTTGAAGGAAATAGAAGTTATTAAACGAGCGATCGAAAATAATGACTCTTCCATGCCTCCTATTTTACCAAAAGATATAACCGAGTTTGAACAACAATTATATAATTTAAAAATCAATGGCTCAACTCTGAAAAGGATGAAAGACGAAGCGGAACGTAATCGAACAAATGCATTCAGATATAATGAAAATCATTATACACATACTTGGAAGTCGTTATCAAACTTTATTACAAAAGTTTTCCATGGATAGTAGACTTAGTAAAATGTCTTTCGTAATTGATATGTCAAATTTACTATTTCATTCATTTCACGAAGTTATCAGCAGTTTGTTTTAATTTTTGCTAAATCTAATTTTATAAATTTAATCAAAGAGGACTTATTGAGTCAATAGGTGATTTGTTCTGCCATTACACACGTTGTCGGTTTTGTTCACGTGATCAATCAATAAATTAAAGAGCACCCTTATCCTAGACCCATTTTCTCAAATATAATTGGTTTAAAATCAGCCACACTGTTTTTGCAAAATATTAAAAAAAAAATGAATTGTTCACACTTTTAAGATATAAAAAATGTTTGTTTTTCTCAATTTAAATTTTTTAATCACTATTTTAATAAAAAATGCATATTTATTGTAATTTTATATTTGATTTTTTTAATAAGCTAGTACATATAAAAAACGCGTCTTATTATTACAAAAATTACACAAAAAAGCAATAATTTAGTAAAAATTGTTATTTCAATAAAAAATGATATCCGGTTAAATAAATAGTTTCGTTTAACATCAATCCCCCCTCTAATTTTCTTATACCATGTGATGTTAAACGAAACTAGTATTTGTTGAATTACATTGTAAAATAAAAATCCAGCCTCATTACAAAAAATGTCTATAACTTTGCAAATATGCAAGCTATTTTACAAAATTAATACATGAATAGACAGACCCTTGCCTGCTGAAAAACTTAGTCCTCCAAGACTTGTTTTATTCGACAAAGTGCTCAAATTACGCACATATTTTTACAAATATTCAAACTATTTTAATAAAATTTATTTCTAACTGAAGTACTACCTCCATACTAACAAAATTGAGTTCAATAAGCTAAGATTTTTATTATTTTATTTTTAATTACTAGTATAAACTTTTAAAATAAAAATAATAGAGAATTTGATACAAATAATCTTTGCCTTTTAACTTTTACTCAAATTATCATTATCATAAAAAAATACATTGCTTAAAATTTGTCTGAGACTATCATTATCCGTTCAAATTGAAAGAGACGACCTTAACCTTAATCAAAACTTATGAGCTCTTTGGGATCAATTTTTTTTGTTTATTTATTTTTAATAATTGATTTAATAAAAGTCTAATAAATACAAAAAAAATTGCTAATAAAATATATTTAATTGCTATTAATACTATAAAATCAAGGCTGACAAGTTACAACAAAGGTTCTAACATTGAATATATCATGTACAAATAATGATTGTATTTCCGGTTATTTAATGAACAATAAATAGTAATTACCGAGTAATGAATTATTATTTTTTAAAGGGAATACAATTCGAACATTCACAATTATAACCTCGGTACCAAGTTGCACCTGCAATAACTTGAGTTTCTCCGGGACTTTCACACGTATAACAGTATTTGAAGTTATTAAAACCATCGCAACCACAACCACCTAAATAATTTTAAAGAAATTAATAGTATTTTTAATTATTGTACTATAATAAAATACTTACTACAAATAAATCCGCTAGTAACACAAGAACTTTTTGGTTTACACCACGAACATGTTGGGCATTTAACGGAAATTGATTTTGAAACAAAAAAAATAATAATAGAAACTAATAAGATTATAATTTCTTTTTTTTTCATCATTGTTAATAAGTGATTTGCTTTTTCTTATTTTTGCTCTTTGGTCATAAATTTCAAAATTTATTAAACAAGAATTTATTCGTGGATTTATTAAATACATAAATAGTTAATCTTTTGTTTATGATAATTTTATTTATTAAATATATAAATACACGTACAATTAGTCTTTTATCTCATACGAAACAGAATTTTAATCACAAAATTTTGCTATGAGAGTAGATTTAATGAAAACATAAATAGATAATCTTTTGTTTATGGTGATTTTATTCTTTAAAATGAAAATACATATATAGTTAATCTTTCCTATACACAAAATTCAAAACAAATGGGATGATCCTCTGGTCCTAGATTATCAGGTTACGCAATGCAAATGTTAATAATCGATTGTCATGTATTAAGATACCGATCAAGAATAAATTTTATGGTGTACTGTTGGGATCAAAAGTGACAATCGGAATTTTGAAATTTTGAAATTGTGAAAATCAAATTTTTCGAAATTTCCTTTTTAAAATTTCCTTTTATGGTAAAATTCCCTTTATAGTATAGATCGACATATACGTTTTTTTATCAAAAACAAATACCCAGTGAAATTCGATATAATGGAGCCATCCGTCCCATTAGTAAAGTTTGTAAATCCATTTATATCAAGAAATCCGTTTCATCAGGAGTAAATTAATTATAGATTATGATAATCCGTTCCTCCGATATATCAAGATTTTACTTATGTTCTGCTATATCGTTTACTTCTGACTATTAAACATGGACTAATATAGCAAATTGAGATGTGAAGTCATTATAAATATTTCGATTCTTATTATCGAATAAATCAAGATCATAATTACACTCAAAATCATAAAAGTATTTGAATTGTTGCTCTTTAGAATCCCATTCGGTATATTTTCCACCGTTCCAATTTGATGAATAAATTTCATATCATCATATATTTAATATTTTGCAAATCATTATATATTATCCATTCAATTATTCGATCTAAATGAAACAACTCCATTTGACATTTTATTATTTCCCGACGTCCATTTTGAAAAATTCTTTTTTAAATAGGATCGAATGCAATATTCATAATATGACGTACCAAGACACTCCAAAAAAAAAATTTTTGCAGTCTTTTTATTCCTTCGTTCAATAAAATTTTTTCGTGGTCATAATTTTTTGTTATCCTTTTTATCGCTTCTGTATTTTAAGGGGTTCATCATCAAGAATTGTTTGCTTTAGGAAATTCATGTTCCTTGGTTATGTCATAATGAACGTTATAATCTAATAATGTATCAGCTCTTTCAATTGCGGTGATAATAAGTTCTTGTAATATTTAAGAATACATTATAAGTTTTATAATATTTTTGCAAAGTTTCTATACAAGAATGATCAAATGTTTCTTTATTGGACGATTTTGATAATAATTTGTGTATTTCAGAAAGTTGATTATTTTCTAAATAAGTCAACTTTCCTTTTAATTCATTTATAGTGACAGTATCATTACTTGAATTTAATAATTCAGAGGCTTTTTTGAAACTAGACATTTTTTTTGAAATTAAAAAAGAGAGAAAAATAATGTAAAAAATGATTACAAATAGGGTATTTACATTTATTGATAAATTTCACAATAGACTAAAATAGTCTAAAATAGTTTAAAATAGTCTAAACTATATAAATGACGGGATAAATCAATTATCTCCTGGCTAATTGGAATCATAGTAAATTTTACTCAATTTTTTTTTTTAATAGGAGGGAAGTTTTTTTTTTTTTGATAGAAATTCTTTTGAGAATTTTTTTAATAGTTATTTTTATTTATTATCATACTTTTTAATTTCAATATTTTTTTATATAACCACATAATATTCATATATGACATAAATTAAAAAGTATTTAAAATAATGTTATCTTTAAAAAAAAAGTATATAGCAGAAATTTGTTTGAAGTGTTTTCTCTTTTTATCATTAATAATATTAAATAATTGCCATAAAAACATTTTTTGAAAATCTACTTTAATATATATAAATAAAAATTGGGGATTGCTAATTGCTAAATATGTCATGATGTATCTAAGTTTTGATCGGTTATTCTTGCGAAAGATATTTTAAAAAAATTTTTTTTACGAACATATTTATTCAAAATAATCTTATTTAATGAAATTTTATTTGCAAATATTAAAATTTAAGTCACGCATTTACGATTTTAAAGAAAAAAATCACCATATTTATTTTTATTGAAGTGTACAAATAAAAGAAACAATAACAATAAATAAAAAAGATAAGTAAATTACAATGATCAAGGAGAAAGATGCTAATAAAAAAATGAAATAACAATGGAGTAATGGAAAGTAATAGAAGATGAAAGGGAGTAAAAAATAGTGATAGGAAACAAAAAGGAGAAATAGGACATGATAAGAGATGAAAAGCAGTAATGGGAGATGAAAAGAAAGTGATGGAAGACGAAGAGGAGTGATAGGAGACGAAGAGGAGTAAAAATTTATTAAAATTGTAAAATTTAATCCAATAAATTTTCAATCAATTTTTTATAAAAAAAAAAGATCAAAAAAATTTCAAGCCAAAATTCTAAACAAAATTCTCCATCAAAAAAATAAAAAAAAATTTCAACAAACAATTCTCTAATGAAATTCTCAATCAAAAAAATATCCCCGATTAAAGAAAAATTTCTAACGAAAATCTTCCATCAAAAAACACATTTTCCCTATTAAAAAAAATTCTCAAAAGAATTTCTCTATTAAAAAAAATTCTTTAATAAAATTCTCCGTCAAAAAATACTTTCATCTATTAAAAAAATTCCCAAAAGAAATTTTTTATCAGGAAAACTCCCTCCTATTAAAAAAAAATTCTTAACGAAATTCTCTATCAAAAAAAAATCTCCCTATTAAAAATAATTTTCTACAAAAAAAAAAAAATTTTTCAATGAATTCTCTATCAAAAAAAAAAATTCTCCTATTAAAAAAAATTGTTCCAACAAATTAAGTATATGTCAAAAAAAAAAATCTTACTAAAAAAAATTCTCCAATGAAATTTCTATCAAATAAAAAGTTTTTAAATTATCCATCAAAAAAAAAAACTTAGAAATGTCCCTATCAATGAAAAAAAAATCTTTCTATTAAAAAATTCCCAAAGAAATTCTATCAAATAAAGCCTTTGCCTATATTAAAAATAAAAATTCTCTACAAATTTGTTTATAAAATAAAAGCCAATAAAAAGAAAAATTATTCGTGTAAAATCTAAAAAAAAAAAAATTTTTTAAAACCGCTAAACTTAAAAACATGTGATCGACAAAATATCGACCCTGTGCTGACAAAGAAACTAATTTTTGACAAAGATAAAATTATCGAGTATAGTTGGATTAAATCAAACACAGTTGGACAAAACCATCAAGCACAGACGGACAAAAATATCAAGCACAGATGGATAAAAACATAAAGCACGGACGGAAAAAAATGTCAAGCATGGTCGGATAAATCCATCAAGCACGTACAGATAAAAACATCAAGCACATACTGACATACAGATAAAACATCAAGCTCATACAGATAAAACATTCAAGCACGTGATAGATAAACATCAAGCATGAATAGATAAAAATATCAAGCACGTACAGATAAATATCAAGCACGGACAGATGAATATCAAGCATGAACAGGTAAAATGTCAGGTACGGTGTAACATTTTGTCAATCCATGCTTGAACTTTATGCCTGGTAGTTTAGTCCAACTCGGCTTGCCATATAAATACCAATCAAATTCTAGAATCTAAATGATTTTCTTGATTTTGTTTAATCGAAAATTCATAACATAGCTAGAGATGGAAGTTAATTAACGGTTAATTTGGTTAATTATATTTAACTAAAATTGGTCAATTAACTGTTATTATAAATTAACCAATCAAAAAAGAGATTTAAATCATGTGATTATAGTTAATTTAGCTTAAACTAACAAAATTAATATATTTGACCAATTCGATGAACTCTGTACCATGTTGTATTAATAACTATAATAAGTTAAAATATAAATTCTGTTTAAAATGATCAATGAAACAGTCCTCTCATACTTTGAGCTTATACAGTGTTTTGCGTGCTTTTTCAATTAATGAGCATACTTCCTAGCAAGTTTAATTCATTTCGTTTTAATTTTTTCAGTGAAAATCATCTTCCAGTATCATTGTCACGATCATAGTAAATATTGGTCACACTGTGACACACTTTCGCATTTCCCCATCTTTTTTTTATGGTGGATGAAATCATATTTGTCACGCAATTACAGTATTTGTCACATAGCTAGTTTCTATGCCGGCAAAGTCACGTGGAGCGGTAAATGATGAAAATAACCTGCCAGATGCTTACCCTGGACCGATCAAATTTGTATAGTGGATTATTGCCGCATGTATTTTTCTTTCTCTCTCTTTCGTGATACTCATGTTTTATATTTCATTTTCTATTTTTATTAAAAAATAATATTTTTAGTTATATTATAGTTGAATAATAATATTGTTAATATTGCTATTTTTTATCAACTCTGTTGACAATTTTTACATTGGAACACTCTTCCGAAAGATAGAAATATTTTAATAATTATTTAATTATATTTATTTATGAAATTATGAGTGTATTTTGTAACAAAAAAATGTAAACTTTTTTTAAAATATAAATAAAGTTATAGTATATATTGCTATTTGTGTATAAATACAAATATTCAAACATAAAGTTTGCTGGCCACTAATAGATTACAAATTGTTAGTTGTTTCGCTCAAAAAATTACTTTGAGGAGTTGAATTTTGTTTTCTTCACTCCCTTTTTTAAAAATAACACCACGAAATTTTTCCAAGATAAATGATACACAAAAAATCTTCATCCAATCAATTTGAGCATCCAGACCATGGTCCAGGCTCGTGAAAATCCTATTATTTGTCACATGATTAACTTCGATATGGAATGATCACCACGGAACTTGATGGAAAGGTCATTCTCAATGAGTCAATGAGTTTTTTAAATGGCAAGATTATTCTCATATAAATAGAAACATTATTTGTACTGAAACTTTCACATTAGAATTTTACTATTTTGAAAATGTTCGAATTTGTAAATAATTCTCTATTGTTTAACATTTCTTTAATAATAAAACATTATCTTATCGGACCACCTAAACCTTCATGGGATTTAAAATTTCATCAAACTTGGGCAATGATAAAATCATTGTCCGAAAATACAAGTAATATGACAATTGAGCAAATACAAAGTGCTAGTTTTCGACCCTATCCTACACCAGCTGGTGTGATGATAAATGAATTCAAAATAAACAATAAATATAGACATGAAGCTCAAGTTCATCTTAATAAAATTTTGAAACCTTACGAACATGTCTTAGATCCTGAATGGAAAAATTTGAAAGATGATGGAATTAACGCCGAATGGGTTCACGTTCCTAATGATGGATGGGAAAAAAGAGAAATTAGGAAAACTATTTTGTACTTACACGGTGGAGGTTATTATTTGTGTAATAAAGATTCTAGTCGTAATGTTACAGGTTCTTTAGCGAAATGGACAAATACAAGAGTTTTAGGTAAGTCAAACCCTGAAATGTTTAATAAATTTTTATTTTATTTATACCTAACTAAAATTTTATTTTATAGCAATCGATTATCGGCTTGCACCTCAAAATCCATTCCCTGCCGCATTACAAGATGCATTGGCCGCTTATTTGTACCTCTTAAATCCTCCAAAAGATACGGGATTCGAACCTTTAAATCCAAAAAATATTGTAATTGCTGGTGATAGTGCTGGAGGCGGTTTAAGTTTGGCTCTTGGTCTTGCTATACGTGATGCTGGTTTGCCATCATGCGCTGGTATCAGCTGTTGGGTAAATAAAGGATTAATTTTTTTATTGTGTTGAATTACTAATCAATTCACATGATTATATTGTATCACGTTACAGAGCCCGTGGGTTGACCTTACACATGGTACTCCTTCAATTCTAGATGACGAATGTGTTGATTTTATTCCAAAATTCAAAGGAAGTAATGTTACTCATGCAGAATCTCAAGTTCTTAATGAATATAAAGAAAAAACTGCTGCCCTCACAGAAAAGATTAAGAAACAAAATCTTGGTCCCAAAATTTGGCATGATTCTTTTGATAGACCTGATGGAGTATTACAATTATATGCACCTAATGAATGCCTAGCAATTCCATATGTTAGCCCAATGTTAACTGAAAGCTTAGGCAATTTGCCTCCTTTATTATTGGTAAGAAAAGGTATCTCTTACTATTGATCCTCTCTTAGATAACTTTGCACTAAAAAAAGAATATATTTGAATAATACAGGTTGCTGGAGATGAAGAAAGAATCCGAGATGAAATAATTTATCTCGCCCATAGATCTGCTGAACCAACTAAGTATAAGGGACCATCCTATAATGCTGGTAAATTTGAAAAATCTCCATTCCAAACTCCGACAAATACTACACTCGAAATATATGAAGAAATGACTCACGTGTTCCAAGTAAAAAGCATTTGTTTTAAAATAGAAAAATGTACGTTTTGTGCAATTATTTTTTAATACAATTAATTCTTTTATTAATATATCCTAGACGTTAGAACATCCTAGCACTACTAAGTCGTATGAACGTACATCTGAATTCATAAATAGAGTGATAAATTCTCCCAACGAGCCACTTCCTCCTTCCTCTTATAATTGTATAAATGTTAAGGGAGAATTTAATAATTTAAAAGAACATCATAAAAAGGTTCTTAATTGGGAAGAAATTGGTATTGTACCAAGTATCACACGAAACGAATTCAATTCTACCTCACATAGATTGTAAGTAAATAATTAGTTAAATTTAAATTTAAAATATAATAAAAATATGTTAATTTACTTGAAAATTTCTCTTTTAGGACACCAAAACTTCTCATATCCATCGGTATTGTCAGTGTTCTCGCTTATGTTCTTTATTGATTTTATTTGTTTGTATTTTTTTATTTGTTTATATTTTTTTTATTTGTTCATATTTTTTTATTTGTTTATTTATTTTATTTTATTATTTATTTTATTTGTCTATTTGTTTATTTTTTTTTATTAAATGGCAGATCTTAGATCATCAAAATTTTCTTTCAAATATATTATCAGTTATGGGAATTCTCTACGTAAAATATCTTAATGACCAAATCTACTATGATCAGCAAATTAAATTAAAACAATAAAAAGATATTATTGGGCGTTTTTTATAAAACTAGTAACGATTTTGTTGATCATTTGTTGATCATTTATTTTTAAATTTATTATAAATTTTGTCACGAGATTTTCTATGGAAATCATTTCTCAATTTGTTATTAAAACACCTGCTGAATTGCCTTGAAATTGAAAATCATTTCCCTTTTTATAAAAAAATTTCCTTTTTGGTAAAAAACTCTCAGATTAATCTTATATAACTTTATGTCAATGTCAATGACAATGNGATTAATCTTATATAACTTTATGTCAATGTCAATGACAATGAAAAAAAACTCTCTCCCGTTCCTTCATTTCGTTTTTTTACAAAGAAAAACTTAGAAAAATTCTTTTCGATATTCTCATAATTATTTTATTTCGTTAAATATAACGGTATGTCCATCTCAGCTAGGACTACTCGTAGTGCGGCCCAGAAGGGTATAGACAACCAGGAGCAGGGAGAAACTATGGAAGGAGTTGTTGGTACAACTTCTACTGCGCAAGATACTTCGAATAATTTTACTTTCACTCCTAATGACGAGGAGTTTACTACAGTTAAGTCTAAAGCTACCTTACGTCAAGAAAACAAGAAGAAAAAAAAACAACAACACCAAGCAGCGGCTTCTGCAAGGTTACCATATAATAGAAAACAACAAGCGACTTTCAAACGACAAGAACTTGACCCTTTCGTTGCTTATAATCCACAAAATACGCAGCAAAAAAAGAAAACCAAACCTGCCGAGACCCCGAAAAATGTTGATCCTATTGTGACACAATCAACCTCTGCAACACCAACTGCGAACAAAGGAAAAGCTAATGAAGATCATTCAGATGTACTACGAAAGATCAACACACAAGATCAAGATGATCAGTCGATGCAGGATGACTCACATTTTGTTGATCCATCTGCCGATAATCAATTGCCTGAAAAAGAAATGGCTGACGCCGAATCTTCACCAATCGTCTTATCTAAACATAACACATGGAAAGCAACTTGTACGATTCCGGAGGCGCCCAAAAGTACACAATTTTGTCATTATATTGTTAAAATTATCAAATCAAAAATTGACGTCGTTACCACTTTTGAAGAAAAGAAACCAATTAAAATGACTGATGATACCAGTAAAGAACAAAAATACTGTCACGTGATTAGTATTAAAGTCAACACAGAAGTCGATTTAAATAGCTTATGTAATATGACTTTTAAAATGCCTAGTGCAACCGATGGCGATGAAAATAATGTCGTATACTCCTTTAAGAAAGTAGAAAATTTACAAGAAAAACGAAAACAACTTTTTCAAAGTCGTGAAAGCCGTACTATCAAGGTATTCAATATACCGTTATATATGGAAAATTATAATTTAAAGGCTGTTTTTAGTCGATATAGAGAATTAGAAGAAGATGGCATTACTACACGACTTAAAGGTATATACAGACAAGCTTTTATAACCTACAAAGACGAACTTAGCATACAACCTTTTTATGCTCAATGGAGTGTATGGGCGTTAAAAGAATGTCTCTCAGTGGTACCTGTTTTGCTATCTGAAGATAAAAAATCTGAAAGGTTCCAATTTGCAGCAAAAATCAATGGTTTACCGTTCAATACTTGTGCACGTGATTTACAACCATTGGTTACTGAAACCAGCGCTGCGTCTATCTTTATTCCACGCAACCCCGTGACATATAAACCTATGAAATATGCTTTTGTATATTTTCGAAATGATAAAGATTTTAGTATTGCAACCAATAATGTATATGAATATGAAGGTCAACAACTAGAATGGTCCCCGTTAGATACCAAATCTTGTCATAGATGCGGATATACGGGACATGTAGCGAAGGAATGTCAAACGGAATTACGACAACGTTCAAATAAATTAAATCGTAATCAACTGCTCCAACAGTTTAAAAATCGTAATAAATCTAAATTCAATTCATACGCCGATGCTACTAAGGGAAATAGATATCCTAATAATCGACAACGACATTGGAATCAAAATAATATTATCAACCGACAACGTAATAAAAATACTTATACCTTTAGTGAAGAAGAAATGCAAGCTTGGGGTGACGAAGAAGATATAAGTGACAACAACCACAACCCAATTCAAGGCGGTACTAGGAAAGGAGGCTCTATGCATGAGCCAAATAACAACACACATACATCTTCACAAAATGATTTATCAGAGATCAAAAAACAACTTACTACTTTAAATGCAATGATTACCGAATTTAGAAAAGAAAATGATATAGTTAGAAAAGAAATTAATTCAATTAAAGAAACCTTTAAAAATAATAATAATCGTAAAGGTCTCCAACAAAAGGCTGACAAATTACCAATTGTTAACGATAATAATAAGCGTGCCAAACCTGACTCATCTTCAAGTGAAAATGATGACAACAACTTAGTGCTTAACTTAGAATCAAGAGTAGAAAAACAAGATAGTTTATTAAATAATATGTTCAATATGATCACAAAACTTACTGGACAACTTTCCGATAAAGAACAAAATGATTCTACTACAACTAAAATTGCAAGTATTGGGGGTACTAGCAATTCAGCCAACCAGTTCGAATCCACTTTTTAAATCTTAATGATTGTACAACCCAATAATAATAATTTAATTAATAATTATTCTAACAATCCACCCCCACATTTAATTAATTATAAAAGAAAAA